CCCTTTTGCTGCCTGTATTCCCTGTGTTGAGGACTCCTGAGGGCAGTGGGAGGTGTCCACTTCTCCTTCCTGCCCAGCCTGCTGAACTCCGCTACAGTGGGGAAGATTAAGTTGCTGTGTATACTGGTATATCAAGTCATCTGCGTCTTCTGACCTAACGATGGATTTAGTTACCTTAGATCCTGTCCCCTAGATATTTATGTACTTTATATGGAAAATATTATCAAATGAAAGTGGTATGCATTTTTTTTAGGAGAAAGCCAAAGCAGAGGACCGTGAAAAGCTTGGTGAAAAAGAAGAAACAATTCCTCCCGATTATAGACTTGAAGAGACCAAGGTAAAAAGTCTGGAATGTTTTTCTTTTATTTTAATCCATACTCAATTTTATAACATAAAACAGGCATCTGGAAGCAGACCTGGAATAGGAAGATCTTGTTAATAATAGTTCAAATTACATTAATCCTTGAGTATTCTGTCATTATCCTAGATGGAAAGCTAAAATATCCCTCAGTGGCTTTTCACCACTCCCTTATGAGAAAGAAATCTAACGTTTAAAATATTTTATTTATTCCATTTGAGTATTTGGTTTGTTATAATAGCTGAAATAAACTTCAGAATATATTATGTAAGCAGAAAAATGTCAAAGTAATTTTATTCCTTATGCAGCTCTTCACTATAAACTGAATTAGAAAGTCTTTTTAACATTGAATAGAGGGGTGAACTGGCCTGTTTCCTTTATTTTGATGTTCAGATTCCAAAGAGCAGGTGACACAGGGCAAACTCCGTTTGAATCTTGGAGTTCAAGTGCAACCATGTCAAATGGGCAGTGGCTTGGGCAATAAAACAAATGTCAGTCATCTTCAAAACCAACCACTACTCAAAGAATATTCAACTTACTCGGCATTAATAATTTAGGAAGCTGGAATTGATATTCCACATATACTGCCCCATTTATTTGGCAAACCCAGAACTGTACTGTGTTCTCCTTGATTAAAAGTGTATCTTTCTGAATTGCTTTGTTCAGCATCTCTCTGCATTTCAGCACTCATTTGAGACAGGGCACTACTGTGATTGGCTTGTTTGTATGTTACTTTGCAAATGCTCTTAGAGAGTTTCTGTGAAGTGTCAAGATCTGTCTCCACTGAATCCCAGTGGTAGATGCTGGTCAATCTGAGTGTCTCTCTTCTTTCCATTAATTTCATTGACAGTTTTTAAACAAGGAGATAATTAGCCTCCCCTGACCTTTCTGTGTAGTTTTACCCTTTTCTGATCCTCTCACACATTATGTATTAATGCTGATTTATAACATTTCCATTGCTGGCTGGATCTCTTGTTTAAATGTCATATTGCTATGCATCAGCTGTGTTCAGCTCGGTTTTAATCAGTAAGATTTAGCCTCTGGGGAAGTAATAGGAACACCATTTCCATTTGAGCCTAGACTAGCCCCCTCGACCCTGTGCATCACTTGGCTGTTTGCTGCCTTTGCAGCTCAGGAGTGGTGGAGAGCAAGACTGGGTTCAGCTCTCCATGCAGATGGAGGGATGATCCGAAGGTACATATGACCCTGCAGAGAAGATGGAAAAGGAGATTGTTGCCAGAGTATTCCTTGTTACAAAGAAATGTCACTGTTAGGCTCCTCATTTGACTTCTTCCTCCTGCTGAGTAAGAGTATGTAAACATGAGTTAAGACTTGTATGTAAGCAAAGAAAAAAATTTATTGGAGAAAATATAAAGTAAAACCCTTTTTCATAAGGAAACATGGAGGGCAGAAAGGATGCTAGCCCACAACTCAAAAAGGAGTTTGGTGGGTTTATAAAAATTTAGGTGAGATGGAGTCTCATATTTATTCATAAGGGAAGTGGGGAATTCTGGGAAAGTGGCCCTTATAGAAGAGGTTATGATAATTAAGTATTTGCGTGCACAGCTGGTTCTGCAAAATGGACTCTATTACAGAGGATTTTGAGTGAAGTTGTGTGCCTTTGAGTCCGAACTAATTCTTAGCTGACTATCTAGTTGGTTTTTAGAGGCAGTAAATTTCTCGAGAGGATCTTTCTCCTGTGGGGCAGCTGGTGAATTTGAACCACGCACTTTTGTGTATTGGAAAGTGTGCATGTGCTCTGTAGCGAGGTCCTGTAGTTCGATTGCTTGGTCTAGTAGATGGCTTTACTTCTTAATTGGGAAGGTCAGCTCTCAGTTTTGAGTGGTGTTTCTTCACAAGTTCCAATAATGGATTCAAACTGGTCTCATTTCAAAATGGGTCTTGAGGAAGTTAATCTGTAAAGAACAACGTTTTATTTCAAGGGGGCATTAGTAACTAGATATTAATGGACATTAGTTATTATTGTTAGATTCTGTGGGATCCAGTACAGCTCATAGTGACTCTTTGAACCCTGTCGTATCCTGTGCACTTTCTACGTTTCTGCCACACTAGAACCCATTGTTATAGTTACTCCTGTGGCTGTCCGTCTCTCTGAGGGGCTTCCTCTCCTTCGCTGACCCTCCACCTTTAACATGATGTCTTTATCCAAGAACTGGCCCCTCCTAATGACATGCCCAAAGTATGTGTAACAAACTTACACCATCCTTCCCTCTAAAGAGCAACCTGGCTGAACTCTCTCCAAGACGCATTTGTTTGTTCTCTTGGCAATCCATGGCTTACTAATGCTCTGCTCCAGTACCACCATTCAAAGGCATTGACAGTTCTTCTGTCATTTTTAGTCACTGTCCAAGTGTCAGATGCATAACAATTGAAAAGACTATGACTTGGATTGGTTTTAAGCTGCCATCCTTGCTCTTCAGCACTTGGGAGAGATCCCTGCCTACATACTTTCCCAATGCAGCACATCTTTTGATTTCATGACTGCCGGTACCAAAGTTGTTGATTGTAGATCTAAGTAAGAGGAACTCATTGACAATTTCTGTCTTTTCTCCATGTATTGCCTGTTGGCCCTGTGGTGAAGATTTTTGTTTTCTTCATGTTGAGATGAACCTGTACTGAAAGCTACTGTAGTCCATGATTTTTTTTTCAGTAAGCCATTCAAGTCCTCCTCAGTTTCAGCAAGCAAAGTTACGTCATCTGCATAACACGGGTTGTTGATGAGTCTTCATAAGATCCTGATGCCACATTCTTCTTCATATAGTCCTGTTATGTTAATGGATAACAAAGTTTAAGGCAATTACTGAATACCTGGAGGAACTGAGGTGTAAAGCCCCCAGGTGCCCTAGTACCTTATCTTTAAAAAAAAGATATTCATATATATTGTGTTTCACACTTTTTTCATTCACATTGGGTTTCATACAATCATAGAAAATTAATCACCATTGGACTATGACCACCTTTACCCTGTCTTTTCAGGTCCCCACTGGACCTTTCCCATTTCCTTTACCCCTACTTCCACCACCAAATTATACAACCCTGTGATTTTCTTCCTACCCATCATCACCCCTCTGCTCCTATCCCATACCCCCTTATCCCCACACGTTTTACCAGTTGACCTTCTAATTTTACAATAATGGTTTTATGCAGTATTTGTCCTTATGAGACTGTGTTAGTTCACTCAGCATAATGCTTTCGAGTCTCTTCCATATAAAAGTATATAGTACTTTTTGAAATCATTGCTCCTGAGTGCTGCATGGTATTCTGTTGTGTGAATATACCACAAGTTCTCAATCCGTTCAGTTGGACACAACTTTATCTTAAGATAGAGGCATGTATGTCAGCTAAGGGAGAAGCACATGCTGTCTCTAAAACTTAGTCCTTCTCACATTTAGAATTTTAAAAGCAAGCAAACAAAAATCCTAGGCTCGTTTCTCAGTAGAATTGTCCATACAGAGAGCTTTGTTGGGAGCTCTTTGGGGGCAAGGATATGGAGAGTTGAGTGCCTGCATAGATAAATGGGGTTAGCCGTTTTTGCACCTTCTATTACTAAAAAATTTCAAATGCTTTATGGATTCTACCATGTAACCTCAGAGGTGGCTGTCAGAATCATTCAAACATTTGATGTAATTTTGTAAGCTTCAAAATATCCTACCTACCCACAAAGTAAGCTCCCTGAGGGCAAAGACTAAGCACATAGTCAATACCTGTTAGCTGGATCTATGGCTTATAAGGTTTATCAGCTCTCTCAAGGCAACCTTTGTCAAGCGTAGGGGAGTCTTCCCTCTGCCCCATTTATTCTTTAAATATTCTGTTATATTGACTCAATTTTTTTTTCCTGTACAAGTTTGTGAACTTCAAGCCAATCTGTGTGCTTTCTCCATGCCTAGCAAATACCTGTTATACTGTATGCTTCTATTGTTTATTATCATGAACTAATCAGGTAGGGCTTCTCTGGTGAGAGAATCCCCTACCAAAAACAGTGGTTCTAGTTTATGTACAGCAGTTGTTACCTATTGGCCCCTTAAAATGTTAAAAAAAAATAAATAGTACGCATAAAGTGTGAAAGAATTAATACCACATTGGTTTTGTTTCTGTTTATTCCATTTCTGCCTAGGATAAAGATGGAAAACCGCTCCTGCCAAAAGAGTCCAAGCAAGAGCTACAAGTAAGCAAACCCCTCTTCTCTGAGTACGTTTTTCTCCCCTGGTTGTAACTTTAAGAGTCTGCACTGAAACAGATGAGGGAGAGACTAATTTAAAAGCTATGTATGATAGGGTATTATGGTTATCACAAGAGTCCACAATTAAGGTTGCATAGTGGAATGTACTTGGGGCGGTGGGAGGGGTGCGGGGGGGATTGTGTATCAGGGAGGGAGTGTTTCTTTTACTTTTCAGAGAGAGGAGCGAACTGGGGTGGGGGGATGGCTGGGTGGGGAGAGAAGTGCAGCAATGAATGAATGGAAATCCAAAATTTCTGTCAATATTTATTAAAATTATTTAAAAAATATTTAAATCAAATTTAAAAAAAGAAGAGTGCGTTGATAGCATGTAAACAGAGACTACCTTTTTAGAGGAAGTGAATGACAAATGATGTGTGTTGATGTATTTTCTGGTTCGTGCAGCCCATGAGTGATGACCTCCTACTGGATGCTCTGTGTGAGGACTTCTCTGGTCCCCCGAACACGTCCAATCTTGTAAGTCTGCAACTCTTCCTTCCTTCCTCTTAAGACGACACAAGTAAATGATAACCTGGGACTCTGACCTGGGAGCTCTGCAAACACTCCCAAAATTAATGACCCTCAACCCACCAAATATTGTTTCAGGCCAGCGGTTGTTTTCAGAAGTTTGGATGACCGTACCAAAGATCGTGTACTATATCAAGCACACCTTTTGAGAAAAAATTTGAATTTTATTTTATGTAAAGTTGCTGTTAGAAAAAAAATCACTGATATTTGCATAACGTAGCATTTTCTGAACTCATTCCCAAGAAAATACATTTTCTGGTAGAATAATAACTCAATGGCCCCTTAAAGGGAATTTAGATATGGTAAATGCTGGGTAATGTTTTTCCACTAAAATATTAAAAGGTTTTAGATATAAACATAGATTTTTACGTCTCATAGTGTTTCTCAAAGTGTGTGTGTGTGTGTGTGTGTGTGTGTGTGTGTGTTTATGTGTGTGTATAAGGTCTGAATTATCTCGTTCCAGGAAACCTAGATTCTTAGCTACTTAATTTATTGTTGGAAATAAGTGTACAGATTCTTAGGTGGGTAAGGACATGGGAAATGGTCACTATGCCAATAGATACACACACATACACCCTCCCCTGCCACCAGCAGTTCAGTGTCCTTATTCCATAGTCTTCCTCTCACCATCTCTGTACACAGAGACATTTCCTCACTGGCTCAAACGCTGTAAGATAAGGGGATAACTGTCCAACTGAAACGGACTTACAGGGGTCGGAGATGTCAGAGATGGTGAGTTTGGCTCAGGATAAAGCAAGGTTATGAGCCATTGCTCCTAGGGTTGCTGTGAGTTGTAGTCATCTCAACAGCACAGAACAACAACATAAGTGACCCTCCAGTTGGATTTTTAGAGACGATAAATCCCTCAAGAAAAGATTTCCCATCTGCAGAGTTTTTGATGCTCTGAGGCCCAGAGAGGCACCACCTTTAGGCACAACTCCTGGTAAACTATGCTATCCAACAAAAAGCAACCATACCATCAGAATGAGGAGATCATAAAAGCGAATTGTAGAGGATAGTACTTAAACGCTTTCCTCATCATCACTGTTATTGTAAGTATTAGGACAGGGTTATTTGGTTTTGGGGTGTTTAGTTTTTTGGTGTTTTGTTTTTTTTTCCCCCTCGAAACCATTTCTTTCTTCTGAAATGAAGAAAAGAGGTGGGCTAGCTGGGGACTGGAAGGGCATGGCCACTACAGACCAAGGCAGGCGAATGTAGCCCTTAGGCTAAAGAGGAAGTTGCTTGTTTTTTAAATATTTATAGAATTTGAAAATGTAACATCAAATTTAAGCATGATTCTTCAAACATACCAAGAGTGTGTAATGGAAATTCATTACAGAAAAGCTAGGAACAACACTAGAAGTCCTAATCCACAACATAAACAGTCTTCCCAGTATCCTGGAAAAGCTACAACCAGGAGAAGATAACATAGATGAATGGGACCTTCTAAGACTCAAATCCCTATGCACATCCAAAAACTTCTCCAGTAGGGTAAAAAGGGAAGCCACTGACTGGGAAAAAGTATTCGGTAATAACATATCAGATAAGGGACTTATATCCAGAATTTATGAAATACTTGAGCACCACAACAAGATAAAGGTAAATAATCCAATAGAAAAATGGGCACAGGATATGAACAGGCACTTCACCGAAGACGACATTCAGATGGCTAACAAACACATGAAGAAATGCTCAAAATCTCTAGCCCTAAGAGAGATGCAAATTAAAACAACTATGAGATATCATTTCACCCCAGTCAAAATAGCAAAATTTAACAGAACAGCAAGCAACAAATGCTGGCGAGGTTGTGGAGAAACTGGAACCCTGATTCACTGTTGGTGGGAGTGTAAAATGGTGCAACCCCTGTGGAAAGCAGTATGGCGCTTTCTCAAAAAGTTGCAAATAGAGATACCATTTGACCCAGCAATTCCACTACTGGGAATATACCCTGAAGAGACCATAGCTGACATCCAAGCAGATATATGCACACCCATGTTCATTGCAGCTTTGTTCACAATAGCAAGGAGTTGGAAACAACCTAAGTGCCCATCAACAAACGAATGGCTAGAGAAGCTGTGGTATATTCGCACAATGGAATACTATGCTGCATTAAAAAACAAGGAACTCATGCAATATTATTCAAAATGGTTGACTCTGGAGAACATTATGCTGAGTGAAATATCCCAGTCACAAAAGGACAAATATTACATGATGCCACTGTTGTAGAATGGGACTGTCCTTGGGGTTAGGGAGACACTGAGTAAGATGGGTTCAATAATGTATACTGCACTGAAGCAGAGGAGGGAGAGAACCGTCTAAAAGAGAGATATAACTGGGTATTTCTGTCATCACAGGAGACTAGAGCGAGGGCTGCATGGTGGAGGGGACCTGGGGGAGGGTTTGTAAAACAATGAAAGAATCTTTTCTTTCACTTTTCCATAATTTTTGGACTCATGTACTTATAACTTGTTAGTCAAATTTGTGTCTTCTAGGTTGCAACACCCCCATGATACATCTTGAAGGATATGTACATGTACGGCTAAGCACAATTAATAACAGTGCATCTAAATTCCAAAATCAATCTCCATAATAGTCTATGTGTTTCCTACTGCCAAAGGGGCCCTTTAGAGTAGTGAGAGAAGATCTTCACCCTGAAACCCACAGCGTCGTCCCTTTTCAGCAGGAAGTAGCTAAGAGAATACGCCGTCCCCTTTTCCTTATGACTCAGGGTGAAGTCTCTCTCAGGGAGGAGTGATAGGGAATGGCAAAGGATACACTGACAAAGAAGATTAATCAGAACTGGCTTTGACAAGCACTGTGGCATTTGGACAAGAACAAACTGGGAGGAGGGTAGAGAGAATAGTGCAACAATGAATGAGTGGAAGCCCAAAATCTCTGTAAATGTTTATGAAAATTAATAAAATATAATTATAGAAAAAAAAAAAGATAAAACTTTTTATAAAGTGCCAATCTTGAAAAAATCAAGCAAAAGACAGTGTTGTGTGCCATCCAGTCAGAGCTGACCCATAGCTGGCCCTCCAGTGAGTTTTCAGGGGCAGTAAATCGCACAGACAATCCTTCTCCTCTCTTGTTAATGTTAAATATCTAATAAGATTCAAATAATTGATCATCATAAATTAATTCTTTAGAAAAATGAAGGGGAAAATGTCATATATTAGATTATAAGAATATTTCCAATGTAAGAGAGGAGCCCGCATACATAATATTTACTTAATCACAAGAAAATAGAGTAAATTTTCTTTTTAAAAATTATATAAATATCCTAATAGTGATGAAATTGAGAAATTCAGAATAGACAAAAAATTGGTGATACATTTTTACAAATTAAAATCTATAAGAAACAGACAAGACAGTATTTATGAGCAATCTTTATTACCACATGTATGTGCAAGGAGCTGGACTCAGAAAATCAAAAAGGCCAAACTCGCTCAGCATTTCTTAAACTGAAGGAACTGAAGAACAAATTCAAACCTCAAGTTGCAATACTTAAAGGTGCTTTGGGCAGAATATTAAATTATCCAGGAAGCATTAAAAGAAGATGGAAAGAATATACAGAGTCATTGTACCCAAAGGAATTGGTGGACACAGAAGAATTTAATGAAACAACATATGAGCAAGAGCCTTTGGTGATGAAGGAATAAGTTCAGGCTGCTCTGAAAGAATTGGGAAAGAAACCAAACAAAACCCCAAAACAACAAGGCCCTAGAAATTGATGGCATACCGAATGACATATTTCAATAAATATATGTTGCCCTAGAAGGGCTCACCAAGTTGTGCCAAGAAATCTGGAGGACAACCACCTGGCCAACTGACCGGAAGAGATATATTTGTTCCCATTCCAAAGAAAGATGATTCAACAGAGTGTGGAAATTATCAAACAGTTTCATTGATATCACATGCAAGCAAGATACTGCTGAAGATTATCCAAAAACAACTGGCACAGCACATCAACAGAGAGCAGCCAGAAGTGCAGTCTGGATCTAGAAGAGGCCGTGGTACTATGGGTATTATAGCTAATGCCAGATGGGTCTTGGCTGAAAGCAGAGAATACCAGAGGAAGGTCTATCTGTTTCATTGACTGTACAAAGGCATTTGACTGTGTGGATCACAACAAACTGTGGCTGACTCTGAGAAGAATGGAATCCCAGAACACTTGATTGTGCTTTTGTGAAACCTATACTTGGACCAGGAGACAGTCATCAGAAAAGAACAAGGAAACACTGCATGGTTCAAATTTAGAAGGGTGTGTGTCAAGGATATGTGCTGTATCTATACCATTTCTATGCACAACAGATTATTAGGCTGGGCTCAGTGAAGAGAAGTGTGGCATCAGGATTGGAGATAGATTCATGAAAAATCTGCGTTATATAGATGACACAACCCTGCTTGCTGAAACTTAGGAGGACCTGAAGCGCTTGCTGCAGAGGGTCAAGGACTGCAGCCTTCAATATGGATTGAAGCTCAACATCAAGAAAACAAATTCTCACCATTGGGCCACTTGGCAGCATCATGATAGATGGTGAAGAGATTGAGATTGTTGACAGCTTCAATTTGCTTGGCTCTACAATTAACTCTTGGTATCAGCAGCCAGAAAATCAAAAGATGAATTGCATTGGCAAAGATGTCAGTCTGGAGACTAAGGTGCACCTTATCCAGACCGTGGTCTTTGCAATTACTTGCTATATATCAGAGAGCTGGAGACTAGGGATGATAGAAGGAGAGTTGATGCCTTTGAGCTTTCATTCTGGAGAAGAGTATTGAATATACCATGGACTGCTAGGAGAACAAACAAGTTCGTCCTCAAGAGGGTGAAGCCAGGCTGCTCCTTGGAGGCAAGGATTCTGTTGCTTCGTCTGACATACTTTGGATATGTTGCAATGTGAGATCAGTCCTTGGAGAGGGACGTCATGCTTGTCAGAGAGGAGGGACAGTGCAGGGGAGGAAGACCCTTGATGAGGTGGATTGATTCAATGACTAGGCTAATGGGGATAGGTGTGTTGGAGGCAATAAGATTGTCAAGGGATAGAGCAGGATTTAGGGCTCTTGTACATAGGTGGCTATGAGTCACAGGCGACTCGACAGCATATAACAACAACCACCTCTATTTTAAGAAAGAAAAATTTTATAAATTAACTGGTTATTAAATTTCATATTTAAATTTATAAAAGATAAAGTATATACCCAAACAGAAGTAACTATAAGCATACTGAAAGGTGGTAATAGCTTTTAGTTAAACGTACAAAGTTTGTTTTGAAATACTTTTTTTTAAAATTAGCAAATATTATAGTGTATTATGATTATCATAAGAGTCCGGAATGAAGTCGGGCGGGTGGGGTGGTGAGGGTGCGGGGGGATTGTATACCAATGAAGGAATTTTACTTTTCAAAGAGAAGAGTGAACTGGGGCTGGGGGGATGGGTGGGGAGAAAAATGCAGCAATGAATGAATGGAAATCCAAAATCTCTGTAAATGTTCATTAAAATTAATTTAAAAAAAATTAGCAAATGTGAATGAGAAAAAATTAAATTTAAAAGTTAGAACTCTTTAACAATCCATTTGAAGAGGTCAGCTGAATTATTAATAGCTCAAAGCTAACAGTCGATTACTATAAATGTCTTATATTGTATGGTATTTGTATGTGCTATATAAATGGCTGACATCTCTAAAGTACATCTTTCATAACTGTGTTGTATTTATGAAAGTGACAGAAAACAGTATGACAAAATAAATTTATTAAAGTGAAATCTGATAATAAAGCAGCTAAATTATTTAAAAATTTTAAGTACAATAATCCTGTAAGAAATGTTTTAACAAAAATATCAAATAGTACAATTCATAGAACCTAACAAACAAGAGAATGAAACTATTCTCAAACTTTCTTTTCCCCTAAAGTTTGAGGATAACTCTTTTACTTAATTCCCAGAGAGTGCCAGTCTGACCTAAAAAAATCTCATTTAAGAGCAAAAGATGATGTATATTGCTTTTACAAATAATTCTTTTCCTAATCTTAAAACTTGATGAATATACCCATATCAACTAATGTCACGCATTTATATAAAGATAAAAATAGCTAACAAAGAGAAATAAATAGCGAATTATTATTTATTTAGCATTACCAGAAATTCATTCATCCAGTAATAACTGTTGTTGTTGTGTACCAGAGTTGAAATCACCCCATAGCTAACTCTCCTGTGGTTTTTTTTTTAAGGCAATTAATCGCACAGGAGGATATTGCCCCTCCTTCTTCCATGCAATAACCATTGTAAAAGAAAACATTTTATAAAATAAAAACAATTATGTTAGATATGTTATATTTTAATTTACTGAACATTGGTAAAAATAAATAAAGTTGAAAGCTCAGGCCATATACTACGGAACTTAAACAACAGTAGCTGTATCATTTTATACCTGTTGTAATATCAAATAAAAATATGTGTTGTTGTTAGGTGCTGTCGAGTCAAGTATGACTCGTAACGACTCTATGAACGACAGACCTGAACCTTGTTCTATCTTATGCCAACCTCAGTCTCTCATACACTCAAGCCCATGGCTGTAATCACTGCATCAGTCTACCTGGTTGAGAGTCTTTCTCTCTTTGGCCATCCCCCCTCCGACATCTTCCCTAGCATGATGTTTTTCTCCAAGGAATAGCCTTTCCTAACAACATGTGACACAAATATAATGCTAGCAAGCACACCAAGAGGGAAACAGATGTGCTCACCCATTGCTTCTGCAGACTAAGAGCAGTTAGACAAAATATATCCAGTACCAAATAAAAGATTCAGTCCTAGAAATCAATGAGAGCAGTTAGTTATAAAGAAGAAAGGCAAAAAGCTGTAAATTGAAATGTATAGCAGTTAATGTGCAAACCAACCATAAAGTATAGCATTCAATTATTGAATAGAATGTAGAAGAATAGATACTAAAATGAAGTAGAAATAGGAAATCGTGTTAAATAATATTCTGTAAAAGAAAGTAGAACAAACTGCCTTTTAGATTATAAGTCGGGATATTTCAATTGGGATGAAGAGAATAAAGCCGTCATAAGACTTCTGTATTTAAGTGATGACGTGGTGGACATAATTTTATATACATTTTATTGATGATAGTAATAAATTTATTTTTTTAAAAAAGGAAAAGAAATTTGATGATGCCAAACTTGCTGCTGTGATTTCTGACGTCGTTTTGGAAACTGCAGCTTCAACTACCCAATCTGCACACCCTCCCCCAAAGGCTCCGGTAAGCAGCTTACCTCTGTTTCTAGTTTTTCAGTTTGTGTATGTGGTAAATATATACAACAGCAAAAAAACACACCATTTCAACAATTATTGCTTGTAATTACAGTTTTTAAGTTGTGTAACCATGTTCCTATTTTCCAAATTATTCTACCACCACTAACAAAAAATTGAGAGAGGTTATTTTTGCGGCAACAATAAAAAGAATTACCCAGGAATAAAACAAAGGGTATATATAGAGCAAATGAAAAAAAATGTCGTTGGTAAGATCGTGCACCTTCTCTTTCAGAAGAGCTAAGAGTAAACAGTTCAGGAAAGGACAGTGTGTACCTATGAAGTGATTAAATGAAGCAATATATATGAGAGTATTTTATACTCATTTGACAAGTATGATAACGTTGCTGTATTAACATTGAAACTGCAATAATATACACTCACATTTTTAGTTTTAAAAATATTTTAGCTTCCCTGATAATTCATTTTCCTTTGTTTTTTCCTGTCATGTGCTATAATTTTCTACCCATTATTTAACCTCAAGTTTATTTTATATAATTGTTCTGTGTCTGTGGTTTCTCTCCCTCTTCCTTCCTCCACCCCACTGGCCCCTTAAAAAAAACCCACAGAAAAAACACCTCCTTACAAACATGCCGTGGTCTGGAACTGTATTCCTCTCATTCACACCAGTAGAAATTTGTCATTTTCATTCTAGTGATAGAAAAACTCAGCGTCAATATTGTTTTAATTATTTACATGTTCTGAGGCTAGGCTGTGGGACCAAAGCTTTTCCAGACCTTCCTTGATTAATTATCTGTGTGGTACCAAATTATACATTATAGAGGGGCTGTGGCACATCAAAAGATGTGGGGAGCACTTCAGGCCACACCACCGCCTCTGGCTGAGTGCAGTACACCAGTGCTGTGTTTGCTAGATGGAGATGAAGTCACTTTCATGCACTCAGCTGTTTCTTTTCCTTTTGATGTAGCATCAAAGCTTGCTTTCTGCTATGGTCTGCATTTCTGAATAGATTTTTTCCTCCCATTGGGTCAGCCTTAGGATCATCTGAAATTGCCCAGGGGCTCAGAAACCACTGCCCAGACTGCTGAGCAGTAAGAAGTTGTGCTACCAACACAAAGTTTTACCATTTGAATCTACCAGCTTGCTGCTGTTCCACAGGAGAAAGATGGGCAATCTCCTTCTGTGTGATTTACTGCCTCTGAAAAACCTATTGAAGGGTCCACTATGAGTCAGTTCCAACTTAGTGGTACATAACTACCACCACCAGCAGCAGCTATAAATTCTAGACTTAATTAAGGGAAGCACACAAAGCCAGTCAATGATGCATGTGTGTGTATGTCCTTGTGTGTGTGAGAGAGAGAAAGGGAAAGAATGAGAGAGAAAGGCACACAGAACGAACGTATGATGACAAAAAGTCCTCATGCAAAGAGAGAAACAGAGACAGACAGACAAACCCAGGATGATGAAAAAGCCCCCATGCAACAGAATGCAAGAACACTGACAGCCTGAACAGCCATTTATCCTTGGCATGAAGCTGTGCTGCAGTCTCAAAGGCACAGTGTTTGACTCTACTAGGTGCTCTGTTGTAAAATTATTTATACTGGAAGCATTCTTGAGGCATAAATGGTCATATTATGATCATGATCAGATAAAACTTCTCTTCTTTCTCGAGGAACTTCTGGTGGATTTGAACTGCCAGAGAAGCGCCCACCTTTGGGTTAGCAGGGCAACTCCCTACAGACTATTCTGTGACAGCTCGTGGCACATGATGAGGTAAAGGACCTGTGTGTTCAGTTCCCTGACGTGGGCCCCGGTCAGCGTGACTTCAGACAAATGACTCCCCCACTTTGAGCCTGTTTGCTTCTTCCTCCCTAAAGACTGCTTAGTTTACTCAGGAGTCGTTGAGAGCATTGAGAAACAACTGAATAGTGTATCTTAAAACATTTGGAAATGAACTGGAAGTTCTGGACAGCAGAAGACAGAGCCGAGGATGGATATCATACACAATGCAGATGTGCACACTTTGTAAATTCATTTATAGAGGGATAGAAGTCAGTGTTTGGAGTACTGCTGTTCTGCAAGTGTTTAAAAAAAAAGTCATCTTGGGATAATATTGTGTCCTAACATGGGGAGCATATTCTTTTATATGTCTTTTCAGTCTTTTACTTCTCTCACTTCTTTATAAAAATGGGTCCTATTAAATAATTTTCCTGAATCATACAATAAATAAATAAACAGTAATTTGTTTTTTATAACCATGATGATAATAATTGTTCTGATAACCTTGATTGGATCCACCTAAAATCCCAGCTCCTATCTCTTCTACTGTGTAATTTCCAGGGTCTTTCTGGAACTCCCCACCTTTTCCAAATGTCTCTGAAATCTTTTGAACCCCCTCTCTTGGGACATAAGATTGTCTCTGGGATGTTTTGGTCTAGAAAGTATTTAGTAAGAGTGGCACTGAGTTCTTATACTTCCCACAGCCTGCCCCAAAATCAAAGAAATCTTACACTGTATTGCAGAATACTCTGTCTCACAGCCATAGCACATATGCCTCAATGGGTTTTAGAGTCACAACAGTGTTTAATTTCTAGATGAAAGGAATATGATTGGTTGCTTTTTGCCTTTGGAATCAATCTCAGGTTTTTTGGAGTGTGGTCTCTGGTCCCGCTACCTAGCCATCCATAGTGCTCTGAAAGATCTTGCCTGGAAGCATGGCCAGGTGTGGATGGGAACAGGGGTCATAGAAAGATGTCCCTGCTCATTCTCCCCAGTCTCTAGATCTCAGCATCTTTTTTCCCTCTGACAAGTCTTCCCCTGCTATCGCCCCTAAGATCTTTACTTTACAAGAAAACAAGTCTTCTGAAATCAAAGGGCTTCTTTGCTGAGTTGCCTTTAATGCATTGTGGTTAATCAGTGATTAATTCAATAATTTACTTTTTAGCAAAGTGACAGCAAAGCGCTTGATGATGCTCTGGATCAGCTCTCTGACAGCCTAGGACAAAGACAGCCTGACCCGGGTGAGAGCAAGCCAATGGAGGACAAAGTAAAGGTAAAATAGAAAAGTCCATGCAGTAATGAAACTGCTAGGCTATCTATCATAGAACACCTTCCACATTAAAGGGAACGGACTGCTTTGGACATTATCATGAGCTAAGGAACGGTTGAATAACTTAATTCATATTTTCTTTCTTTTTGCTTAATGTTGTATTTTTTTTCCTCCCTGAGACTGTGTATGGTATGGAATCCTTTATTCCATAATACTGGCATTATGCGGGTATAGTGCCTCTTTGTTAGAAGAGCACCTCTATGATTGTGTGTTAATTTTATTCTTTTCTTGCATTAACTTTTCTTGGTTTTACCAGAAGTAAGGACATTTTATACACACACACACATAGACATATACACATACATATGTTGTTGTTATTATGTGCTGTCGAGTTGCTTGCGACTCATAGCGACTCTTATGTACAACAGCCCTAAACTCTGCTCTGTCCTGTGCCAATTGCACTGTCTCTGATACCTCCATCCCTATTACCTCAGCCACTGAATCAATCCACCTCATAGAGGGTCTTCCCCTCCTGAGCTGTCCCTCCACCCTCCCAAGCATGATGTCCCTCTCCAAGGACCCGTCACTTCTCACAACATGTCCAAAGTATGTTAGATAGAGCCTCAGAATCCTTGCCTTCAAGGAGCTGCCCAGTTTAACCCTCTCCAGGATGAATCTGTTTATTTTCCTAGCAGTCCAGTACTCCTCAGTACTCCAGCACCACAGCTCAAAGGCATCAATTCTCCTTCTATCCTCCTTAGTCATTGTCCAGCTCTCTGATGCATAACAAGTGATAGCAAAGACTATGGCCTGTATCAGACGCACCTTAGTCTCCAGGGAGACACCATTGCTCTTCAATACTTTGGAGAGGTCCCTAACAGCAGACTTTCCCATTGCAGTCCGTCTTTTAATTTCCTGGCTGCTGCTGCCAAGAGTGTTGACTGTGGAGCCAAGCAAACTAAAGCTGTGAGCAATCTCAAGCTCTTCACCATACATAGCTATATATGTAGTATACCCATGAACATTTGTTAAGATTACCATGTTGACATGTAACATGTTCTGTGCATGTTAGTGGCAGATGTCACTATGTGGTGGGCATTTTCCCGGCAGCTTCTCTGCAGACAGCACTAAACCTGAGTATGAGCACTGTACCAGTTCAACATTGCACAGAAACCTCACTGACATCAAGCCAGAACTGACTCATAGCTTATCCTCCATTGGGCTTTCAGAGGCTGTAGATTGCATGGGGGGAGACTGCCCATCTTTATCCCTTAGAGCTACTGGTGGATTTAGACTTCCAGGGAGCCCCCACCTTTATGTTAACAACACAACTCCCTACTGACGAGGCTATCAGAGCTTCCTAGAGCTGTGTCCAGACTGTTACTAGGATGTGTTTCAGACAGTACTTCACAGTCCATTTCAGCTGTTTGAATCATGGATTGGTAGCAGGAACTATCTGACCAGCCAAACGTATGCCCCCAAAACAGTCTCGTTGTATCACTATCACAAACGAATGTGTATAATATTAATTTACACTTCAATAAAAAATCAGATGATACAAATAAAATTGCTCCTTTTGCAGAGTCTGAGATTGAGACCACCCAGCCATGCAGCAGAGGGCTTTGTCACCTGCAGCACACGTAGCCCAGCATGTCTAAGGCAGACCTGTTACTTGTCCTGGTCCCTCAGAGCTGCATATAAATAATCAGAATTCTGAAGGCACACGGTTTGAATCCACCAGCTCCTCCTCAGGGAAAGGATGGGTATTAACTGCCTCTGAAAACCCACCAGAGGGTCAGCTATGGGTCGGTTCCGGCTCCATGGTGCACAACAACAACAACATGTCACCTAATGTTACCTAATTTTTTATCTTAAAAGTAATACTCATAAAAGGAAAAGTAAAACACACTAACCCACCCTTGGGTTTTATTTCTTAGCATGGTTTCTGAGAATAGCTAATCATTCCTAACAATTTAAAATACTGGTGGAAAGGGAACTCTGGTCACCTAGTCGCAAGAAGCTGCACTGCAATCCTGAAGGCACGTGGTTCTAATCCACCAGATGCTCTGCTGCAGAAGGAGGGGCAGTCTCCTCCTGTACCAGTCAGATCAGACTTTATGGTACACAACAAGAGAAAAAAAAATTAAAATATGGTAGAAACTTGAAATACATATGTATATGGATTTATTTTTTAATTAATAGCCCCTTAAGCCATATCCTTGTTATTATTTTTATAAAAATATAAAAACAGACCATATATATGGAGGTTTTCTCATAAAAGTGCAATAAACGCCGAATGTGTCATTTTAGAATGTTTCCTAGGATAAAGTGGAAATGACTACTATGTCCGTTCATTGTTTACAGGAGAGAGCGAAAGCTGAGCATCGAGACAAGCTAGGAGAGAGAGATGACACCATCCCACCTGAATACAGACATCTCCTAGATAACGATGATCCGGTAAACCAAGGCGCAAGGCTGAGAGGGGCCACAGGCCAGAGATTTGGTTCCTTAGGTTGAGTTCCCACTACTCAGCTCTTTTATACAAATAGCAACTTCACCTGATAGAAGCTATACTGTAACAGTAGCATAAAAATGTGACATGACTGACTGCTTTTAATTGGGACCCAATTCACTTAAAACATTGTTTATTAATATTCATTTCATCTAGTAAGAATTGGTATTCACTGTGCTGGGAGCTATAGTATAAGCAGTTGAGTATAGTATTCAGTTATTAAATAATTCTGAGACAAGTAGAGTTCTTCTGGAGGAAAAGGTTATATAAAAATGGCCGATGCCATGGAACTCCACAGGAAGCTAAGAGTCTCTGTGTAGGGAGTGTAGAAACAGCAATTGTTGGAAGAATTATTTAAGTAAATAGGTAAGACCTAGGGTCTCCCTTTCTTCCTTCTACACCACACCATCACAACGTGTTGTGAGTAAAGACAAAAAAACTGCTATTCCCAGGGAGAAGTCATACCAAGTCACTAGTCTTTAATCTCTAAACTGGAAACGAGATTTCTTTTTGTTTAAGGTAAACCTTCCCTGTCCTCATTTTTTTGTTCTCTTCATACTTGTGGGTCCATTAAAGGATAAAGAATCTTTCCCAGGCCTCCTCATTACATAAGAAAAAAGAATTCCAAATGTACATCCTTCTTTAGTCTTTCTGTATTGATTTATTTGGTGGGTAAGATGATTTTAAGACGTGCTGAGTACTTTGAAAATTAAATAACTTATATAAAAGTAGTGTCTTCATTGTCAGAATCTATTATCCTTGCTTGTCATCAGTATTTCTCAAAATAGCAATTGTGCATCTTGTACAGTTTGCTAGAATCTTCTCCACTTTATTTGGGAAATGCATTATTCAATGCTTTTGCCTTGGAAGGTTGGAAAGTCTCTGATGTGTGTATTTTTAATACTGTCTGAAAATAATTATCTGTGTAGCATTCCTGTGCCTCAAACCATTCTTAAATTTGCTAGATTGTAGTAAGTAAATTAAAACAAGGGTAAACAAGTTAATTTTTAAAATAACATTTTAAGTAGAATTAGAACACCTAAGACTAGAAACTTTGTTAACAGTGTTTATTTCATTTCCAGGAATAGACTGTCTTTCTGGCATTTTCCATAAGGCTAGAGAAAAGCTCATCAGAGTAGTAATTAAGAAGGGACCAGGATTCATCAGTTATTGCAAATCAGTGCTTCTTTATATTTAATCTCTGGATAGTAATTCTGTAAATACTAAGTATTAGGTTAGGTAAACTTTGCCAAGATCTGTATTTAACCAATGATCTGTCTTATTCTTAAGGGCAAATCAGGGAAGCCATCTGCAAAGAAACCCAAGGAATCAACGGTAAATATTTTAACAATGTGTTTTGATTAAAAAAATTATAATTCCACTTACAAGCTTTAGTTTATACTAACTTGAATAAAATTTATTGAATGCTTGCTCTGCCTGATACTTTTTCAAGGTTAGCATGTTAGAGAGATTTGCTTAATTTAGTCTTCCCCAGAACCTTTTAAGAAAGGCTGGGCCTTATTGCAAATTAGACATCAGAAGCTCAGAGAAAACTTAAGAACTCTCTCAGATAATACAAGAAAATAAAGAAGTCAATATTTACATGTTTTAATGGCTTCCTTTTACAATGCATTAATGTTAGAAATATGTCATCAAGGTGGATTTTTAAAAAAATAGACATCCTAAGTTTTTGCATGGCCACACCGCATTCTGCCTTATGTGTCTTCCTTAACTATTTCTGTTCATGTTTCAGAAACCTGCAAGTGGCCAGGATCCCATTGATGCCCTTTCAGAAGATTTCAACAACTGTCCTTCAACCACAGAAACCCCACAGAAGGCCACAAAGGTATTCTTTCATACTGACTTTCTTTAAGGATGTGAAAGCAAGTATAATCTTGAATAATTATGAAAGAACTTGAAAATGATAAAGAAAGGAAATGAAAAGAAAAATTATCATCTCACCCCTCCCATAAAGGAGGAGTGAAGTCTGTCTCTATCCTGTGAGGTTGGCACAGGATAGAGCAGGGTTTAGGGCTGTTGTATATAGGGTTACTATGAGCCACAGGCGACTCAACGGCACATAACAACAACAACAACAACATGTATACCTGAAAATCCACTGAAGGGTCAGCTATGATTGACTCCCAACTTGATTGCTATGAGTTTTGCATTTACAAATATATTTTTTCTTTACATAGTTGTATTTATTCATAGTCCATATAGCAATATATTAATAAGCCCTAGTAGTATAGTGGCTATGCTCTGAGCTACTAACTAAAGGGTTGCCAGTTCAAATCCTACAGCCACTGCACAGGAGAAAAAGATAGGACAAACTGTTCCCAAAAATTTTGGAAACCCTCTGCATCAGAACAGACTTTATATCAAGCATTGATATAAGCACATTGCTTAATGTTATTTCTGAAATGTTTTTCATGTTGCTATATAATCATCATTGTCATTTTTCATGGCCACACTATTGCTGTGTGACAGTAGTGCTGTGCCTTTAATACATACTGTGGTCATTTTTTAAAAAATTTTATTTTATATTGGTTTGTATATAAAATTCATATACATTGTGTTACACACTTTATTTCCTTCACATTGTGTTTCATATAGTCATTCCTATACATTGTGTTTTGTAAAATTAATCTCCATTGAATTATGTCCACTGTTACCCCATCTGTCCAGGTCCCCACCACATCCTGTGTTCATTTAAAATGAGAGCAGCCCCTGACTCCACCACAGTTTCTCATGTCCATGTGCTTCGGAGTCTCTCCTTTCTTGCCCTTTTCAACTGGCTGACCCTCCTGCTTATCCGTCCTGCTCATCCCTCATAGCCCTGCTCACACATCAGCCCCCTGGGGAAGGCGTTGGTTCCTTCGGCCCTATCCAGGTATCCTCGCGTGTTCTTAGCACAGACTATGATACCTGGCACTCCCAGGTTGGACTATAGACAGTATACCTTTTACTTCTGTGTGCTTAGCCTTAGGAGCCCTGGTGGTGTAATGTGTAACATACTGGGCTGCTAACAACAAGATTATTGTTGTTGTGATGTGCCGTCGAGTCGCTTGCTACTCATAACGACTCTAGGTACAAGAGCCCTAAACCCTACTCTATCCTGTGCCAACCTCACCGTCTCCAACACACTCATTCCCACCACACCACTCACAGAATCAATCCATCTCATCAAGGGTCTTCCTTTCCTGTGCCGCCCCTCTACTTTTCCAAACATGATGTGCCTGTCCAAAGACCAGTCAGTCCCTCCTTGTAACATGCCCACAGTATGTCATACAAAGCTTCAGAATCCATCCTGACTTCACCCTCTCCAGGTCAAACCTGTTTGTCCTCCTAGCAGTCCATGGTATATTCAGCACTCTTCTCCAGCACCACAGCTCAAAGGCAATTCTCTTTCTATCACCCCTAGTCTCTGTCCAACTCTCCAGTGCATAGCACGTAATTGCAAAGACTGTACCCCGGACCAGGTACACCTTAGTCTCCTTGCTGACGTCATTGTTCTTCAGTACTCTTGAGAGGTCTCTGACAGCTGACTTTCCCAGGGCAATTCATCTCTTGATTTCCTGGCTGCTGTTACCAAGAACGTTGACTGTGGAGCCAAGCAAACTAAAACTGTTAACTATGTCAATCTCTTCACCATCCATCCTGATGATGCTGCCAATTGACCCAGTGGTGAGAATCTTAGTCTTCTTGATGTTGAGCTTCAGTCCATATTGAAGACTGCAGTCCTTGACCTTCTGCAGCAAGCGCTTTAGGTCCTCCTCAGTTTCAGCAAGCAGGGCTGTGTCATCTGCATAATGCAGGTTGTTGATGACTCTTCCACCAATCCTGATGCCACATTCCTCCTCATAAAGCCCAGTATCTCAGACGATCTGTTCTGCATACAGATTGTAAAGATATGGAGACAGAATACATCCCTGACGAACCCCCTTCTTGATTTTGAACCATGTAGTGTCTCCTTGCTCTGTTCTGACGACTGCCTCTTGGTCCAAGTATAGGTTTCACATTAGCACAATCAAATGTTCTGAGATTCCCATTCTTCTCAGAGTCAGCCACAGCTTGTTGTGATCCACACAGTCAAAAGCCTTTTCATAGTCAGTGAAGTACAGATAGACAGTCTTCTGGTATTCTTTGCTTTCTGTCAAGATCCATCTAACATTAGCTATAATATCCCTAGTACCACAACCTCTTCCAAATCCAGTCTGCATATCTAGCAGTTCTTTGTTGACATATTACTTCAATCGTTTTTGGATAATTATCAGCAGAATCTTGCTTTCATGTGATATTAATGATAGTTCGATAATTTCCACATTCTTTTGGGTCACCTTTCTTTGGAATGGGAGCAGATATTGATCTTTTCAGTCATTTGGTCAGCTGGCTGTCCTCCAGATTTCTTGGCACAACTTAGTGAGCACATCCAGGGCAGTGTCTGTCTGTTGAAATATGTCAATTGGTATGCTGTCAACTCCTGGAGCCTTGTTTTTTGCCAATTTCTTCATAGCAACTTGAACTTCCTCCTTCATCACCACAGGCTCTTGCTCCTATGTTATTTCATAAAATTCTTCTATGTCAGCCAATTTCTTCTGATACAGTGACTGTGTACTCCTTCCATCTTCTTTTAATGCTTCCTGGATCATTTAACATTCTACCTGGAATATCCTTAAGTATTGCCACCTGTGGCTTGAATTTGTTTTTCATCTCCTTCAGCCTAAGAAACACTGAGCGAGTTCGGCCTTTTTTATTTTCTGATTTCAGCTCTCTGTACATATCATTATAGTATCTTTCTTTGTCGTCCTGAGCTGCCTTTTGAAATTTTCTGTTCAGCTCTTTGATTTCTTGGTTTCTTCCTTTAGCTTTAGCTTTGGCTTCTTGGCACTCTGATGCAATACTCAGAGTCTCATCTGACATCCATCTTGGTCTTTTCTTATTTTTCAGCCTTTGTAACGATCTTTTGTATGGATAATTTTCTTGATATCCTCCCAGAGCTCATTTGGTCGACGCTCTTTGGTGCTCAAGGCCTCAAACCTGTTCCTGAGATGGTTTTGAAATTCGAGTGGGACAGACTTAAGGTCAAATTTTGGTTCCCATGGATTTGATTTAATTTTCCTCAACTTCACCGTGAACTTGCATATGAGTAGTTGTTGGTCCACAGCTGCTCTGAGGAAGAAAGATCCTCTTAACAGAACCAAGTTTCCGCTTAACAGAACTAAGTTTTGGTTTGTATTCTTGAGTATTTAACATTTGCCAAATATCTGGTATTCGCAACATGTAATTAAGAGTGATTAAAAGAAAACCAAATATGTATTTCAGCAATTATAGTATATTTTACTTATAAATCGTACCATCTCACCAATCAAACAGAAAGAGAGTGCCCTGCACTACCATTTTCGGAAGAGTGGATCATGCAGACTGTGATTTGCTGTGATTTGGGTTTTGTTTAAGCCTAGCTTCCCCACCGCTACCCCCATATTGAGTAATTTAATTTCTGAATTGTCTCTCCATCCTGTTTCTCATTCTTAGAAAGAAACTTCTCAGTAAGGCTTTTTTGATGAATGGACTTTATTTTTATAGGTAGCCTGCCCCAGGCCTTGGATTATTTCCATTGCCAATTTCACCTCCATCACACTAAAAATCATATCCTGTGTTCACTGTTTGTATATAAAAGCCAGCCCCAATAGAGACAAATTCTGTTTTGATGAGGTCTGGGTGGCTCATGCTTCATGGAAATTGACAGAGAACATCAGCATGACCCTAATAACAGCATATTTCCTTCATTTTTACTTTTTCTCTCCTACCTTAAACGCCTTCATCTATGTTTGTTGTTGTTATGTGCCGTTGAGTTGCCTGCGACTTATAGCGACCCTGTGTACAACAGCCCTAAACCCTGCTCTAGCCTGTGCCAGTCACACTGCCTCTGACACACGCATCCCGATTACCCCAGTCACTGAATCAATCCACCTCATAGAGGACCTTCCTTATTTGCGCCGTCCCTCGACCCTCCCAAGCATGATGTCCCTCTCCAGGGACCTGTCCCTCCTTACAACATGTCCAAAGTATGTCAAACGAAGCCCCAGAATCCTTGCCTCCAAGAAGCAGCCTGGTTTAAGCCTCTCCTGGATGAATCTGTTTGTTTTCTTGGCAGTCCATGCTACATTCACTACTCTTCTCCAGCACCACAGCTCAAAAGCATCCACTCTCCTTCTGTCCTCCCTAGTCATTGTCCAACTCTCTGATGCATAACAAGTGATTTCAAAGACCATAGCCTGTATCAGATGCACCTTAGTCTCCAGAGAGATACCATTGCACTTCAGTACTTTGGAGAGGTTCCTAACAGCAGACTTTCCCATTGCAATATGTTTTTTGATTTCCTGGCTACTGGTGCCAAGAGTGTTGACTGTGGAGCCGAGAAAACGGAAGCTGTGAACAATCTCAATCTCTTCACCATCCATCCTGATGCTGCCATCTATGTTTACTGTTAAAAAAATTACGATTGAAAACCCGAAGTTTTCTATTATGTAATTAAATTGGGCACTATTAGGTTATTAAAAAGAATAATCTGAAATCATTTCATTGCAATCCAGTACTTATTTATTGGATGGACTGATAGTATCAATTAATGTTGTTATGTACCATCACGCGACTCATAGCAACCCTGTGTACAACAGCCCTGAAACCTGCTCTATCCTGTGACAACTTTACTGTCTCCGACACATTTACCCTCATTGCTCCAGTCACTATCAATCCATCTCATCGATGGTATTCCTCTCTTTCTCCATCCCTCCACCTTTCCAAGCATGACATCCCTCTCCAAGGACTGTCCCTCCTTGCAACATGCCCAAAGTATGTCAGACGAAGCTTCAGAATCCTTGCCTCCAAGGAGCAGCCTGGCTTCACCCTCTCCAGGACGAACCTGTTTGTTCTCCTGGCAGTCCTTGGTATATTCAACACTCTTCTCCAGCAGCCTCTTTATATCTCCTTTACTTTAGAGCAAAGGCAAGAAGACGGATTCCAGTGGCAAAACACACAAGAATGGAGGGAAATCAAAGGAATCATCTAAGGTAAATGTACAACAGAATTGTCTCACAGTTAATGTTAAATGAGGTTTACCTTTCAGAGTTTAGTATTTTTGTAAGCTCTATGTAGATAGAATGTTTTTATTCAGTATCATAATTGCCCTGTTAACCCACCCAATAGCAGTGCCTCTCTGGTGGTTCGAATCCACCAGAAGCTCCTGAGAAGAAAGATAACAGTCTCCTTCCACGTGAATTTACAGCTTCTGGAAACTCGCTGGAGGATCAGCTCTGAGTTGGTTCCAGCTAGACAGCAATGAATTGTACAATCTCCTATCAAGTCTTGCTAGTGGAATTGAATTTTCCAAAGATAATTACCGATTATTCTCTAGAAATTTAAATGAAAATTCTTAGCTCCACTAAAGTTGCCTACCTTCCCCAACCTTGATAAAATACACCAAAATAAATGATATGTATTGTTGTTGTTGTTCGGTGCCAGGAGTTTATATAAATTTTAGGATATGGAAGTGGTATTATAGAGTGGTGGGGGGAGGGTTATTTTAGAGTTTATCTGGTCCAACATATTTATTAGACAATATGTGTGGCAGAAATGGATTATTGATTCATAAATTTTCTTGTTGCTCCAGAAAGGAAAACAAAAGCTAATAAAGGAATGTATAGATTGTGGTTTCAGTTAGTGGATGTTGTTGTTGTTGTTGATTGCCTTGGAGTCGAGCATGACTCATAGTGATCCTATGAACAAAAGGCCTGAAGCCCCTCTCCAACTATCAACATTTATCAAAGTTCATAGAGTTTCCAGAGGCAGGTTGTTGAGGAAGTGGATATCACTCCTTCTTCCAAGAGTGGATATTTACTAGTAAAGTTGAATTAACTTCAACTAAAATTACTCAAGCTATATGATCCAGAATTGAAGTTGAATCATGTAACGTCTAGTTCCTTTCCAGAAATATATGATTCACATGACTGTGAGTGTGGATCCTCCTACGATAATGAGTGGCTTTGTGGTAAGGAGTTGCAGTGCCAACCCAAAGGTATAGAGCTCGAATCCACCAGCCACTCCATGGGAGAAAGACGGGCAGTCAGTCTCCTTTAGTTCAATTTACACCCTCTTAAAATCTGCGCGAGCTTCAGCTTTGAGTTGGTTCTAATTTGACAACAATAGCAGCAACTACCATGAGACGTTAAAGATGGAACAAGATTGATAGTTAACAGTAACTCACGCCACACTACCTCTCAGACAAATATGCACCTATTAATGACGTAGCCAGTGTTGAGTTGTACTGTCAACCCAAATGCAGCACCTCCCGTGCACCTTTAATCCACCAGAACCTCCTTCAGAGAAAGATGTGCAGTCTCTTCCCATTTAACTTACTGCCCCCAAAAGCTTGCTGGCGGGTCAGCCAGGAGTCGGCTCTTAACTCGACTGCAGTGGACTCGAGTTGAATTTTAATAATGTCACTTATATAAAGTAATATCAACCCTCTAACAAAATAAAATAGAAAGCATAATGTAACTCTGCATGGTAGGTAGGTGACCAGGCAGCCATGTCTCCAAATACCAGAAAAAGATGGGTCACTATAGAATGATCCAGCTTTGCCACCCAGAAAAACCAGAAACTTTTTATCTGTCACTTGCCTCAAAAAACCAAAAGCTAATTGATGGAGATCATTAGCATCACTTAAAGTTACTATTATTCAGGGGGCCAAATGAGAAGGAGAATCTTTTGTCCCTTTTGAGAAGTTTATCTCCTCATGCACCTTTTCTAATCATTTAAAGATGATTTCTAGTTTTCTAGTCACGCACCTTTTGATGAATCTTTTTTTTTTTTTTAATATATGGTGGCATAGTGTATAGGGCTTGCCCTGCTATCCCAAAGGCCACGCTTCTCCGGACAACAAATCTGCAGCCTTAGAAACGGAATGGAGGGCCAGCTAAGAGCTTATTCTAACTTCAGTTGGCATTTCTTAGGTGTGGGGCTTTTTTTCTCCAATTCAGAAAGGTGTGCATTCACTTAAGGCTTGCTTTCCCTTTTTAGGCAAAGGAGGGAGCTTCCAAGTCAAAAGGGCTTGAAAAAAATTCAAGTTAAAGTTCCCAGTATGTGGTAAGTTTAGCGTTTCTTTCAAATGAAGAAAATGATGCCTTCTGCCAATCTGTGTTATAGCTAAGTGTACCTAAGCCTACCTATTGATTATTTCATATTGTATATTATTGGTGTAAAAGTCACATTTAAAAATTTACAGTTAGCCAGTTTTTTTGAAAGCATTAAATGGAATGATTTTGCTACAAGTGAAAACATAAATCTAGGCCACATACTAAGCCAGAGTTTTAAGGAAAATGGACATCTAAGGGAGCTCTGGTAGCTCAGTAGAAAGGAGTTGCATCGCCAATCCGAAGGCAGAACATTCAAACCCCACAGTTACTACATGGGAGAAAATGGAACATTCTCTTCCCATGCAGTTTACAGCCTCTGAAAACCTGCTGGAAAGTCACCTGAGATCCGACTCAACAGCACATTGCAGTAACAGCAAACCTAATTGAATCTTTGAAATTCAAGTGACAAAGCAAAGGTAGCATAATGTGTAATGAAATGTCATCCTCAAGCTACTAATACTGCCCAAAATACCAACACATTGTGGGATGCAGAGAAGCATACTTTAGGGTCTGATGGGAATCGCAGGGTTTTTGCAACAGTAAGCACCAAAGGAAAGGATTGGCCACCTTAAGTCATCTTAGTTTTGGAAAATGAAGTACTATGAGCAACTTCTGCTGTATGGTGATTGAAGAGGAAATCTGAGGGTTGAAGAAACCTCAGACCTAGTTTGAAAGCTGGGCTCCTGTCTTAGTCTCCTTAGAGGGATGAGGTCTTATTCTAAGCTATGAAAACACCTACCCACCTATTGATCATTTAACCAAACCTAAAAGAAATCAATACAGACATCAAATGGGTTTAGGCTCTCTCACCATAACGTAGTTTTATTTTATGAAAGTGAGAAGAGGTGTACTTGTAAGAAGGACTCCTGGTGGCACAGTGATCAAGCCCATTGTTGGTAACCAACAGCAGGGAGAAAACAGCAGTACTCGGCTTCCTGGAAGAGTACAGCCTGGAAACACTAGAGAACAGTTGTACTCTATCTTGTGTGGTTGCCAGGAGTCAGAAACAACTTGATAGCAATGAGTTTGGTTTTGGGGTATATCTTGTTAGAGCCACTCAACAGATTTATCCCAGCACTTTAAAATTTGTTTCTTTTGCTATTTTTTTCTAATGCTTTTGATGTATATTAATATTAGAATGCTTGTAACAAAAAAAAAGTCCACCTCAAATGGCTCACTGGATTGTTTGTTTGTTTTTGTTTTTTTTTTTCAGGTATCTGCATATAAGTCTTCAGCTGGTGAATGGTGACTTTTGAAGAACAAAGTCCTTAAACAACAAACCTTTTTCTTGGGTGGCTTCTAGACTGTTATGTGTTAAATCTTGGGGCATCCTAAACATTGGTTTGGTATTCTTTTCCAGGAAAGAAACTGAATTTGTCTGGTTTACCTGTGTTATTATACTGAGTATTAATGTTCTGAACTTTTAAAAAATTGCCTTCAGTGGGGGGAGAAAGGAAGCTTTATATTTGTAAGAAGTATATTTGATAGTTTCTTAAAGCAACACATACCAAAAAAAAAAAAAACCAAACAAAAAAACAAAACCTTTGCAAACTTTTGCACATTCTACACACAGTGCCTGTAAATCTCATCAATATTTCCAATTTGCACTTAATGTTGTTTTTCTTTAAACACTTTTGGAAAATGATGTGTTAAACCTCCTTCAGTGTTCTCACTTATTACCCTCTTCCCGCCTGGACTTTTGAATGGTATTCAGTGTCTCTTTGGGCTAATGCTTATATATTAATATCAAACATAAGATATTTGCATTGGTCACGTATGTCCTCTTGGGCTGCTAATAATAGTAGTTACCTGGATAGCCCAGTACGGCCCTTTTCAGTTTACATTCTCCTCACCAGGCTAGGGTCAGGATTACCATACCATATAATCGGCACAAAACACCCTGGGACTTGAATCAAGTCATCAGAAGAGCAAAATGTAAACTCTGTAATTCACTGTATAGCAAGTTGGAAGAGCAAGTAATAAAATTGAGTCTTCAGCCATTTCCTTTGACTTGAACTCTCTTGTTTACTGTGGTATTCAGCTGTGCTTTCTGTTTCTACATGTAACACAGAGTGGCCGTTGTTTGCTATTGCTTTACCAGTATTTGCACCGTGTAGCATCTGGCTTATGGGAAGTTCAAATAATGCAAAACTGAGCTCCTACTTTTTATTTTAAAAAAGATGATATGTATATCTAAAATTTTAAATCTGCTTTCCCTTACAGCAATTTAAGAACTAGGCTCTGATATTCCTACAACTTTGAGTGTTTTCTTAGCTGGCTTGATAGTGACTGGCTCATGAAGGGAATACTGATAATCACTGATGGACTGTGTTTGATATATATTTAATTTCTTTTTTCTTTTCTGGTAGTGAATGCAGGAAGAAATGTCAGGCATGTATTATAAAACTGATTGGAATCTCCTGTGTCCACAGAGATTCACTAGGTTCTTTAGCATCTATGTAAAGTTTTTATTTATTAAGATGTGGCTGATATCATTAAAAAATATGTAACATCACCAGTATTGGCTAATAAGAATGGGGCAAGCAAAAATAATGACTTTGGGTATAATTGGACATTTGAGACATCTTTAATCCCAACCTTAGAGGAACCAGGTTTGCACAAATCCTTCTATAAGAACATAGTCATGAAATTGGTCAAAGTTTGATTGTTGTTGTTGCTGTTGTCGTTGTTAGTTGCTGTTGTCGTTGTTAGTTGCTGTTGAGTTGTGGACAACTCATAGTGACCCTATGAACCAAAGACCTGGGCACTGTTCATAGAGTTTCCGGAGGCAAGCTATTTCAGAATTGGATGCCACTCCTGCTTCCAGGCTTGTTTTAAGTTTGCTTATGCTCTCTAAAAATCATGTGCAAGCCCATGGGATTTCAAGCTCTGCCCATTTAAAAATCCTGTTTAAAAAAAAAAATCCTGTTTCTCTCTCAAAGCATTACTCTACTACTCTTGAGTCTAGTATATATGAGGAAATCTATTCGTAACTACACGGACTTTTCAAGCAATATTAGTTTTTTTTTAAAAAAAAAATCTTCCTGTCAAAATTGTTTGCTTTTTTGTTTGTTTGTATTTAAAGTATGGGTTTTTTAAATTTTTTTAAAAGTCTATGATATGATATATTTGCAGGACAGTCTATGGCTGCAGTGTTATTCCCAATCTCCATGTAGATGTAGAAATATTTTTAAAAGACATACCAGATCTAAAGGCCTATCCAAAGATTTAAGAAAAATATACTTGTACTCTAACTATGTCTATTAACAATATCTTCAGGACATGGGTATTTGCTGGTAATTTTGACTTAGGTAAACTATAGGATCTAAGTCAGTCTTTTCTTTTCTATCCAGTTAGAATAATTGCAAATAAAGCACAGTTAATTTTAATTACTAAAAGAGTTTCTGCACAGGGTTGTGGTAATACTGGGTCTGTTTAGAAAATGGACTTTTCCAAGGCAAATGATGCTAGATTCCTCAGATGACCAGAACTGAAAATCAGTGTTTCCATGGTCCACTAATCAAGATCTAAAATATAATTAAAGCAAACTAGTGTGCATTATATCATTTTGGCTGTGTAGTTTTGTTTTGTTTTTTTTTTACATAACACAAAATGCTACAGGTTTAAATTATCAGTGACACTGACTTGTTTTATTTTCCAAACCATTAACCACACAATAAGTACAATAGAACTGTGGACAAATTTATGTCCAGTAAAAGCCATTCTATTCCATAGTTTCTTTAGCAACACATTTCATAGCATTTTTCACAGACATAATTTTCTTTCATCTTGAGAATTTTGTCATATATTGAAAAAATTCTCTATATATTTTCAAAGACCAAGGCTAATATTCTCAATTAGGGTCTCACTCATGTAAATTCAAAGGGAGCTCTGGTGTCATCATCAGGAGGGGACTGTACAACTAACCCCCAGGAGGGCCTCCTCCAGCAACTCAAACCCACCACTTCCAGCTTCCCAGTGTATTATAATGTATTGGGTATTCTTCAGTGGTTTCTCTAAGGTCAGTGCCAAGCACACATTATTTAGGCCCTGTAAACTTGAGGATAGATAAGGAGAAAGAAAGAAAAGCTCAGCCTTCTTCCTATGGCTCCACAATTCTCAGGTACAGCTTCAAAGGAAAGGTTCTTCTTAAGGGCTTGATTCTGCAGGACAGAAGATACACTGAGGGAATGGGTAGGATGTTCAATTTAGGATTATTTGAAAAAAAATTTATAAAAGGATTTAAAAAAAATGCTTAGGAAGGTGCATGAAAAACAGAAATACAGCTGGGATTTGTAAAAGCCGGGCTCCTATTGGGGCACAATAGTCATGAAGTTATGAGAGGAGAATTAGAGTCTCCATGACCCAGAAAATGGGGAAGGTTATGAGGAAAAGAAAGTTCCTTCTCAGGGCAGAGACCTTCAGTAGAGCCCACTCTAAGATACCCAACGAGCAAACCAGGGACTAAATAATATAAATCTACTCTTTCCCTACCTCACCCAACCTCCGTGTCTTCCTGGGCCTCCCCATTGGCCAGAGACCAAAAAAGTAACTGACCCATGAATGAATGGTCTGACCCATGAATCAGTTTTCCACATAAAACAGAACAAATAAGGAGACGAATGTGGGTCTGCAGGAGCTGGAGGTAGAGCTGTGGCACAGGCAACTTCCATAAGAATCATGGATCCAGGTGTTCTGTGTTCTTCACTATTCAAAGTCTCCCAAAGAGTTTGACATATGGAAAAACACTTTGTTGTGTAAGTTGTAGTTGGAAAAGTCTGACTTGGGGAATAGTTGGAGGCTGCTGGGTTTAATCATAAAACATTACAAAATGAGATGGACAAGGTCCTTTCTCCTCTCTGATAGGGAATCTACCACTTGGGTATACAGATGTGTTCAGGATAACACCTGTAGACAAACATATGGTAGCAATAAGCCTTTGAAGAGAAAAACAAACAGCCTATCTTCATAGGAATAGTCAGATGATATGGAGTAGGAGAAAAAGGAAGTGTCTCCAGCTGGTGCCAAAAACAGCCATCTTGCATTTGAAAATGTTCACATTCAACAAAATTCAGGTGATTATGGATCACAGGAACCTGGCAAAGACTGACTTGTTACAGCAGCCCAAGGCTTTCATTTTGTAACCACACTCTGATTTTATCAAAATTTTTATCCATCCAGCGTATGTTTTCCTCAATGGTTTCAATTGTCTGTTGGACACAACGGAGCTGAGAACCATTTTCTTTCAAAGAGCTGAAGAATCCTTTTACCTTGTGAAGGGGGAGAAAACAGAAGAGGTTTTTTTTAAAATATACCCTATTACATTAAGCAATTATATGTAACTTTGGGCTAGTTAAAAGGAAGCTGAAGCCAAAATTATAGCATTTGTCAAAATTCCACATAGGAGGTGGCCCCAGGTGTCTGGATACGATTATGTATACAGAAACTTAAGCTAAGTGAAATGAGCTCATGAGTCATGATGTCAAGTGGGTTTTTTTTCTGCCGCTCTTATTCACAGTTGCCAAATTCTAAAAAAATGTTACTGTTTACTATCTTTGTAATTAAGGCTTAATTGAGTGTGTCTAGTTAATGTGTATCCTGTTACATATGCACACAGATGCAAATTTAATTTTTAAACTCTGGTATCTGAAAAGCAGAACATCTAGAGTATCTTCTTTGCCAAGCAAAACAATCCCAACCACATAAGTACAGCCTTTCCCCGTGGGCCTGGCCTTATGTGTTGTTATAGAAACACTGTGGGAAGTGAAAGTTCTTAGCAAGTTATGGTGGTAAAACCTTGGACTTGGCCAATTTTTTTTCTTCATCCTAATCCACAATTCATATGATTGTTCCCTTAAGATAGACTCCACATAAAGTTTCTCATGATTTGAAAGAGATAAAGAGAACTTAAAAATATTTCTGTGTTTGCTTCATCTCCAGGGACCTTAACCCCTTGAAGCACACATGAATAAGCTGGCCCTTTTGCAGCATCAACCACTGTGTTCCTCTATTTCAGCTAAAAGGTTCTCAGTATTTTTCCCAGAAATCCCCACAGCATTAATCCATCATATCTTTTTATTATTATTATTTTGTTGTCAGGAAGTGAGTGATTCTTGGCCAAGATGCATTATTTAGTCAGCATGGCTTCTAGAGAGCGAGCTAATGATTCTTTAAAAGCCCAAGTTAAGATACCATGTTAAAGCTTCGGGAAGAAAACGGATGAATAGGTTTATGATTCTTATTTTAAAATTAAAATTCCAAACCTAAATGATTCAAGGTTGTTTTTAAGAAAGTGTCTCAGTACAGGTTTTCAATAGGCTAATGGTACTTCCTCCTCTAGCAACCAGTAAACAACTCACCCTCACGGTCTTGACTTTATTATATAATTATAGCTCAGCCTACTGTACTACTACTATCCTTTGAGAACTCCAGATCAATAAACATTCCTTTATAAATAACGTTGGGCGCTTTGCAGCCCTTGAATCATATCAGAAAGTACTAATTGGCCAAGTTATTAATCCTGGAGGAGCACATTATGATTGCTGTTAAGCTCAGTTCAGTTGACTACCACTCATTGCAGCTCTGTGAGCAACAAATCGGAACCCTGCCCTGTCCTGTCCAGTCCCCATGATCTTTGCCAGCCTTCAGCCCTCTGTTGCCATCACTGTGACAACCGTCTTGCTCAAGACCTTTCTCCTCTCTTTCACTGATCTCCCACCTTTCCCACCGTGATGTCTTTTCCCAAGATGCCGAAAGTATCTAATTTTGAACATCCTAAAATAGAAGCTAAGTCTTTAAGGTTATCTCAAGTCGTTTTCTAATGACAGAGTTAAGACAGTGGAATATGCCTCAGAAGAGAGTGTCCTTCACTAGTTTATCTGCAGCTGATTTGGACATATGCATTGCATCTAAATATAACTTCTAAATGATGGAATCCACTTCTAATGAATCATTAAAATATTTTATTTACCCCTATTTATTAGCCAATGTCACTTAAGTTTAAAAGAAAAGGATTTTTACCTCCTCAAGCCGTGTTCTTGTGGAAAACTGATTTGTGGTCCCCATCACCATGCCGGCGATGGAAGGAGAACCGAGTTCAAACCTAGAAACGGAAATTTAAAAAATGCATTGTGAAATTTTTTTTCATCTAACATGCTTAAAGGTTACAACTTTTAATTTAAATCTGAGTTGCTGTTGATGTTACATGCTGTTAAGTCAACTCTGAGTCATAGCCACCCGACAAACAATGGCTCTGAACCTGATGCTGAGCTAACATCCTCCTCTCCCACACACTTGATCCCATGGCTAAAGTCACTGTGTTGATCCATCTCTTCAAGGGTCTTCTTTTGTGCTGATCCTAAAACTTTCCAAGTATAATGTCTCCAAGGATTTGAGAAATAAGACATGATTACTATCCTCCATGGGTTAAGATCTAGTGACGAAATGAAAACAGTATAAAAGATAAAAGTGTTAAGCATCAGAGAGTTGAACAATGACTAGGGAGGACAGAAGGAGAGTGGATGCTTTTGAGCTGTGGTGCTGGAGAAGGGTACTGAATGTACCCTGGACTGCCAGGAAAACAAACGGATTTGTCTTGGAGAGGATTAAACCAAGCTGCTCCTTGGAGGCAAGGATTCTGGGGCTTCGTCTGACATACTTTGGACATGTTGTCAGGAGGGATGGGTCCTTGGAGAGGGATATCATGCTTGGGAGGGTGGAAAGACAGCGCAGGAGGGGAAGACCCTCTATGAGATAGATTGATTTGGTGACTGGGGTAATCGGGATGGGTGTGTCAGAGGCGGTGCGGTTGGCGCAGGATAGAGCAGGGTTTAGGGTTGTTGTGCCATAGGGTCGCTATGAGTCAGAAATGACTCGACGGCACATAACAACAACAACATCCATAGTGGGTCGAATGGTGCCACCCCCAAAGATATGTTGAAATCTAATCCCCAGTACCTGTGAATGAGGCATTATTTGGGACAGGGAGCTTTGAAGAAGGAATGAATAGCTAATGTCAATATGAGATCACAGTGGACTTAGAGTGGGCCATAAACCTAATGACAAGTGTCCTTATAAAGAAAGAGGAGGAGAAGCAGCAGGCACTGGAGTGACGTCATAAGTTAAGGAATGACTAGAACCACCAGAAAATGGAAGAGGTAAGGAAGAAATTGCTCTAGAGCTTTCAGAGGAATATGGTTCTGCCAAGACTTTGATTTCAGGCTTCTAGCCTCCAAAATGGTGAAAACAAGTTCATAGTGTTATAAGCCACCAAGTTTATGGCCATTTCTTACAGCATCCAAAGGAAAACTGTAGGAGTATTAAGTGCGACAAGAATTGGAAATAATGCAAACAAGCAGAAAGAATCATGAAAGACGCAGGCTGACTGATGAGGAGGAATGCCTTCAACAGTCATTGTACACAGGAAAGGAATGTTCCAGATGAAACAGAAACTGTTCATATCCAGATTCGTTCTGATAGAGTTTTTAATTTTTTGAAGATATTTCAAGTGCTTCTATTTTCTCTCTTCAATATAAAACCCCTTTTAGCGTATTAGTGAAGTTCAAAAACACTGACAGCTTACACGGATACAGAAGAATTCTAACAGTACTCACTTTTGTACAAGTTTACTCCAGTTTTCTCTCAGAAATTGCCAAGCCAAAGGATATCCCACTGGATTTCTGCCAATAAGATGAAGAATGCTTGGAAACTCCTGAGTTTTTATTACATCTCCCTTAAAACTTGTCTCTAATAACCTAGAGTAATTAGAAGAAATGTTGGCAATGAATTCATGGTAAAAAGTTCATGAATGAAATTATTTGTGAGGGGGGAAAACTCCCACAACATGTTAATAATAAAGAACAAAAAGGTGACAAAGCAAAGCTAAGATTAAACCTCCTAGTAAAAATAAAGCTACATAATAAAAATTAACATTTATTATTTACAACACCTACTGTCTCATTTGCTCAAAATACTTAAAAGGACTTATCTGATGAATATGTCTACCTTGTTATATCTTTAAAGCTTCTTAGATATGCATTTTTTTAAAAATCCAGGTAGCTCAGGTGACTAGTCAGTAGCAAGCTGTGAAACCAACCCAAAGTCAGGTGGTTCCAATCTAGCAGTTGAAAAGATCTAAGAAGAATATCTGATAAATATATCTACTTCTGTCATATAGCTTTGCAGCTTCTCAGATATATATTCATTTAATAATTTTTTAACACTCAATAGACATATTTCTTTAGTTGCCATTAAATCAGTTCTGAAACGAGGTGAACTCATATGTTTCAAAGACCCATAAGAGTTTTAAATTACTGATTTGTCATAAATAGGTAGCCAGGCATTTCTTCTGAGGCTTCTTTAACTGAATTCAAACAACTAACTTACCAATTAGTAGTCAAATACTTAACCCATTGCACACGCCATTATTTTTTTAATTTTTATTTTATTATTTTTTGTGTGTGTGTGTGTACCGTCAAATCAGATCTCACTGGTACAGGAGGAGATTGTCCCTCCTTCTCCAGCAGAGCATCTGGTGGATTCGAACCTCACGCTTCAGGGATTGCAGTACAACTTCTTGCCAGTAGGCCACCAGAGCTCCCCTGCACACTCCATTCTTAACACACAGTTTATTCCCTAATTATTTGCCATACCCGTTAAGTGAACTCCCATTGGTATAAATATCCTCAGCAGACTGGAGAGTCTGGCCAAGAGAACAAAAAAGGATGCCAGAATGAGCTGATCTAATTTCATTTCTGTTGGTCACATGAACAGGAATGAGTTACTCACCACTGAAGTTTTTCCTTATTTTGGCTTGTACAGAGGGCAAATTCAATTTGGTATTTCTCAGTGCTGGACAAAGAAGTCTGATATTTATTATAAAGAAATTCCCAGCCTTCAGTGTTCTGAGCTCCCACAGCAAACACCGCCAGGGTCACATCATTGGGTAAGCTGTGAAAATAACATTTCTGGTGAGTATCAGAGACACAAGTGTGTTTAGATGCAAAGAAGTGACAGCTAGTGAACAGGGCCCATGATCCCAGAAGGATATCTGCACATATACAAACAAAAATGACTTCTTCCCTTCAGATAACAATTCATGGAAAGAAAAAAACAATCTCTAAAATTTAGATTTTAAGTAGCTTTTCAAAATGTAATGTTAAATGCCACTTTTATAGATACCTAAAAATGTAACAGACATCAATGATGCTAGGTAATTTTCCAAGCCAAAAGAAAGAAAATAAAATAAGACTCAATATTTAAGTACACAAGTCAGAAGTTCAATAGGCTAAGATGTGACCAACTGTCTTGGTGAGCCTGTGTGAAAAGACCAAGATTATCTTTTAAGAGCTTAAAGCAAGGATCCACTAAATTCTTTATCGTCAAAGTTCTATCAATGGCCAACTGTTTTTCCCGGGGGGCTTAGTGGTAAGGAATTGAACAGCCAGTGCAAAGGTGAACCAGCTGATCCACAGAAGAAGGGCAGTCTCCTCCTGTGCAATTTACTCCCTCTGAAAACCCTTTGGAATGTCAGATATGAGGCAGTTTTGACTTGAAAGTACACAATAACAATATGTATAAATGAGGCTCCTATGTGAAAATGCCTTCCTCTCCTAGGATGAAGTCACCAAACTGCATTTAAAAACGAGATTAGACTGCTGATATTTTTATTTTATTAATGGAAGCACTTGAGTTGTTGATATGATGTTTTCTGGAAAGCAAGATTAACATTTCCAGAACTGGTAACATTCTAGCTTACTTGGACAGTTTTAGCAACTTGCATCTCTGACAAGGCCCACAAAAGCTACTTACTTTTATTTTTCTTTTATTTTACTATTTTGTGTGTGCATGTGTACCATCAAATCAGATCTGACTGGTACTGGAGGAGATTGCCCCTCCTTCTCCAGCAGAGCATCTGGTGGACTTGAAGGGCGCGTCTCTGGGATTGCAGTGCAGCTTCTTGCCACTAGGCCACTAGGGCTCCCTAAAAGCTACTTTTTAAAAGCTGCTGTGTATGTAAATAGAAATGATGTATATATTACAATATTAGTCAATACCACATTTTACTTTTGTATTATTTAGTGACAATTACAGTGAGTATGCTATACAATTAGCACTAATAATCACTGCCAGATTTTCCATCACCTTAAAAAGAAGTTGAATGTTTTCCTAAAGAGTGGCCCATGGAAGCTAATTTAAGATGTATTGTTTTATTGTTGTTATGCACTGTGGAGTCAGAATTGACTCATAGCTGACCCTTCTGGGGGTTTTCAGAGCTAATAAATTGCATGGGAGGGGACTTCCCATCTTTCTCCCAAGGAACAACTGGTGAGTTTGATCTGCAGGCCTTTAGGTTGGTAGTACAACTCCCTAACTCTAGGCTACCACAGTTCCCTTAAGATGCATTATCTCTAACCAATTAATGTACTTATTGTCAATAAGTTGTATCTCTGTATGAAGCTGAATTGACAAAAGTGGTAGAAAATATTAACAATATTTTTTTAAAAATGAGTGACTTTTGAGGTTTCTTATGTAATAACCAAGCACTTCATGGGATTTGGTTCCTTGGTTTAGAGGTTAGGGTCATGGTTTAATGGTAAATTCTAGTGAACAGGCCTAATAAATGTGTTTAGTGCTTACATTATATCTCCTAATTAGTTGCATAGTGCCTAGTGCCAGTGGCCAGTCATGGTCTCAATTTACCTGAAGCCAAAGAACAGTCAGAAATAACAGAAAGATATGCAATATATTACTAATCGCCACCATTAACAATTGCCTTCTTTGCCATGAAAACAGAAGAATTTGGATGGTGCCTACCTATCATGGTTGAACATTTTTACCAAAGAATCTACAGAAGAATCATAATTTGTGTGTGTGTGTGTGTGTGTGTGTGTGTTTACGTGTGCGTGTGCACAAGTAGGGAATGCAAAACAATTTTCACATTCTCTTGCAATTCCAGTTTTATGGAACAATTGCTCTGAAAACATCTTTAAACCTTAAACCAAAAATATCCTCTAAAGTCTCCTTAAAACCAAGTGCTTTGAGCATTTTGCTGTTTTAAGACCTAGCTGTATGTGATTAACTTGACAAAAGCGACATGGAACACTGTTAGACAGGAATCTTGCCGAGGGGTAAATTTATATTGCTGGGATAGAAGAACTCAGAACAAAAGTGGGTGAGTGTGGGTACACAACTCAACGTCACTGAATATTTGATTGATGTACATTCTGCTTCATATATTTCCAACAACAATAAAAATTAAATCACTAAAAAAATAAGTATTTCCTCTGTTTCTGTCCCGTGTGGTCATCTTTGTTCTCATAGGGCTGCATATCTTCACTATTTAAAATGGGAATCATCCTAATCCTGTTAGAATCTCTCAAATATTCTATTTTGTGCACAGACATCTTTCCTCAAATCTCTTTAAGAATAGAAAGTGAGAGATAAATGGACAAATTGTATAATGAAATTTATTTCCCAAGCAAAGGGCAGCAGGGGAGACTTGTCCACTTGGGGTTTTTTTCTACCATCTCGGCACTGATGATGGAACTAGAAAGATATCTCTGACATTAGCACATTGGTTGTTGAGTAAGGACAGACCTCATACTTCCATTGGATCCCTTCCACTCTCTGAAATAGCCTTCTGCCCTCTGCACGCACGGCTGGTACTTGCGCACGCAGGCAAGGAGGAGAAGCTGGCTCCGCAGCATTCGTTCAGAGACCGAGCCCTCATCGGTCCAGGTCTGCTTGTCGATGAGGTCCTTCAGCAGCCTTATGAGAAAGGCCTGGGGGCATCACACAGGGGGAAGGCGAAATGTGTCACTATTACTGTCCAGATAATTTCATGTTGATATAATCCGATGTGCCCTCTAGCGAAGCTGGCTGTATTTTAATATTCAATCATACTTATTTTGCAAACAATTCTGTGTATATATAATTATAAAGTCATAATCATAAACCTAAAAAATAATGATTAATTACTTTAACATTACATAACAACCCTTCTAAAGATAACCTTATCTACTTAAAATCAGAATGAGCTGCCACTTTTAAAGCAAATCAAGCGACAGCTTATTTAACTGATTTTAAAGCAAGAGAACTTCATGAACTTTTGCCAGGAATAACAATTTTGTGCTTCTTTCTCAAGTACCTGAAAAATCTCGGACAACCTTACGTCAAGAAGCCTATCGCATCAGAAATTCAATGTGCATACACATCATGGTTCAAATGGTTTGATACTTAACTAACTTGTATTAGATAAGAACTTAATGGCTCATGCACTGATATATAAATTTGACCTAAAGACAAACTTGGGAATAAAAGTGCTTCATTTTCCAGAGCCTACTTACAAGAATCTGATGGTGCCAAAATAAATTTTTATATAACAAAAAATTATTTTTGGGTATTTTATAACCAAAATTTATTTTGCCCCAAAATAAATCTAAAATTTCTGCTAATCAATTCAAATGCTGAATTAATTTTCCTATATTTTCTTTAATGTAAAGAGATATGTATATGATGATTAAGAATTTTTTCCCATATTTAGAAAAACAAACCACAGTTACATAACTGTTGGATTTATTTCAGGCTCTTACCTTGAACTGTGTTTCTACTTCATTCATATCTCTTTTCTCCATTAACTTATACATAGGAATAAGCTCATCCAAACCTTGAAACACAGGCATAATTTCCGTTTCACGTTTCAAGTACAGAGTTAAATCCAAGGCTTTTTCAATGGGTAGCTTTCCAATGCTGACCAAGAGACAATAAGCAATTTAAAAAAATTGCAGGAAATACATGTATGACTTCAAAAGATTTTAAAGAATCATCCAGCAAAACAATTAAACATAAATGGCTCTCCTAAGTAATGATGTTTATGTTAGCAGCTTTGCTATTACAGATTATACACCATCACACGTGTTTCCACTGTGGAGGAAGTTTTTCAAAGTGGACTTGGGGATGGGTATCAGTGAGGGGGAGGAGGTAAATGTGCAACAATTAATGAATGAAAACTCAACCTTTCTGTAAACTTTCATTAACATGATAATAAAGATGAAAAGAAAATCTAAGATAAAATTTTTTTAAAATACTAATAAAACCAAAGCTAACTTAAAGCAAAGTGGTTCAAGCAAAATGGAAGCATGCCAGCTCTGTCCCTCTGATATATTGAACTTCCAGAGTAAGGAAGAGATTTCTATTCAAGACCCTGCAGGCATCCTGGCTAGGGAGACTGTCTTTCAATGAAAACAATCAGTGCCTAGAGTAACCATAGCCTTCTCCTTATTTTAAGAAGAAATTGAATATAGGCACAAACCAACTCTGCATTATAATTGTTTTTCCTGTTTACTGTAGAGTTGGAACCAACCCATAACTGACTCTCTGGCAGGTTTCCAGAAGCAGTAATCACACTGGAGAACTGGACAATGACTAAGGATGACAGAAGAGCTGATGTCTTTGAGTTGTGGTGCTGGTGAAGAGTCTTGTATCTACCACAGACCACTAAGAGAACAAATAGGTTTGTCTTGGAGAGGGTGAAACCAAGTTTCTCCTTGGAGGCTAGGATTTTGAAACTCACATACTCCAGGCACGTGGCCAGGAGGCACCAGTTCTTGGAGAAGGATATAATGCTTGGAAAGGTGGAGGGACTGCGAGAGAGACGATGACTCCAGATGTGATGCATTGACACAATAACTGGGGTGATGGGAAGAGGTCAGTGAGACTGGCTCAGGATAGGTCAGGGCTTAGAGCTGTTGTACGCAAGGTAGCTATGAGTCTCTGGCGACTTGAGGGCACATAACAACAATCACGTGGGAGGAGACTGAGCACCCTGCTGCTATGGAGCAGCAGGCCATCTTTGGGATTGCAGGGCAGCTTCTTGCCACTAGGCAACAAGAGCTCCTTCATTATAGAGTTTGCGTACAAACCTTCCGTAATGTGGTAGGTCTATAGAAGTTAGCACAAATAAGCAGAAATATGCCTTGCAGGAAAAAGCAGCTAGATAAGTAACTCCATTGCTTTTTGTCCTTTCATGAGGCTCAGTATGGTGGTAAGGGACAAGCCCAGAAGGAAGAATTCAACACTGGAGGAGAAAAGTATGGTTATGACGAGGCTCTTGTAGCCCTGCCCTTTCCACCTGCATGGCCCCCCTTTAGGTGTTCAGTTCTGTCTAAACACTAAACAAGTTTACGTTTTAGAGTTGGGGGTCCTTTATTTAAGAACTACTGTCACAGAAGGGGTGGAATTGAAAGGTGTTCACTTTCATTTCGAGTATTTGAATGGCCTATCAGAAACATTCTAACCCATTACTATTGAGTCAGAATCGACACATAGCTGACCCTCGAGCAGGACCCCAAGGCTATAAATTGCACAGGACGGGATTGCCCATCTTTCTCCTGCAGAGAGCTGGAGGATCGGGACCACTAGAGAAGCAGGGCCTTTGGACTAGAAAGGAATGGACTTGGTCCACACTTTGAGTTGAGTCAAATATTATGAGCTGCTTTCCATAAAAGTACTATAAAGTTCAGGTATATAATTTAGGGAAAGGGGAAAAGTATCTCACTCACTTAATTCAAGGTATATAATCCTGTGTACCTGGATAATCTTCAAGACAAGGAGAGAAGAAACCTGTCTTTGGTGGGGCCAAAAAAACCAGGTAGGACAAGGATCAGCAAGCAGGGAGCAGTCAAAGGATGTCACCAAGACGTTGGTCTCCCGGTGTTTTACACATTTGCTTCAGTCTGATCAAAGCTGATAATGGTAAGAATTAAAATACAGATTCTTCCCTTCCTGAAACCCAGAGCTCTAATGGCATGGCCTGCAGGGAGCTGCACTGTTAAACCAATGGTGGAGACTCTCTGGTGGCTTGGATCCGCCAACAGCTCCATCGGAGGAAAATGGGTAATTATCTGTGAAATTCACAGCCTCCAAAAAAAAAACCACTGGAGGGTCAGCTGCGCATCGGTGCCACCTCAAGGGCAATGATTTTATTATGGCTGAGTTACCTAGCAGTCACAGATAGGAGGTTAATCATAAGGCTAAAAGCTACCTCACTTATTAGAATTGCTTAGGGGCAAACATATTTCAATTTCTTATTAACCATAAATCAGTCATTTTCATCTTCAGAAATAAAAATAGTTGAGGCATAGTGGCTGTTTTCAGAAACAGACCAACACTTTGTGCAGCTTGTATTACCTGACAAGCTGAAACGCATTGTTGATGAGGCTGGCACGGTCATTACTGCTGATGGCGGTGTGTGCTTCTTTTAAGAGGCCAGTCAGAGAGTCCCATCCATCACCCTCATAATGCACGATGTAATAGCCATTCATTCCCACGTTAAATTTGATCCACTCCACTTCTTCTGGGAGGATGAGCACATCTACAGTAAATAAAATAAATCAGAGCTCTATTTTGTCTCCTGACTGATAAAAGCTTTTCCAACGCAGGGACTGAAGGAGAAAAACTAAACAGTTTAATATCAAACAATTTTAAATTAGCTATTGTTTTCTAGAAAGCAACAAACAACCCAATATAAAAAAATCAGCATGTGCTTTAGACATCAATTTTGTGAAATATATATAGACACCAATTTTGTGAAATATATAGATCTTTTAAAGAAAATAAGAGCCATTTCTCAGGCCTTACATGATCAGTAAGTCAGCATTGTAAGAATTAATGAGAATTTTTACTAGAAATTCCTTCATACCATTACATAATTAAACTGCTTCATTTCTGTCTGGCAAGATACTGACTTTTGGGTTGTTGAGGTGTTTGCATGTGTGTGTATGCATATGTATATGTGTATGTGTATGTGGTTTTTCTTTCGGAGGCATTTTGCATGCATGCAATATTTTCAATCCTACTTTCTTCATTAAAAAACAACTAAAATCCAGAGATTATATGAAACAAAGACTGACAGCCACCCCATTTGATTTGACCAAGATAAACAGCAAACAAAAAGCAACCCCAAGTCTTTAAAACCTACACATTTCCACTGATCCTTCTCAAATTAGACTAGTTACTGCCACAGTAAACTACCTGTTTTTGTCTTCAGCAAAAATCTCTGGACTGAGTCTGACTTGCTGGTGATGTACGTCAAGGGCACATGCCACAGTTGTCTAAAGGAAAGGAGAAATGGAGTGTTCATTTGTTGTGATAATGAGAGCATATATTATGTGACAGTTGTGAACTGATTTAGAACAAGATGGTACCAAGACTAGCATAGGTAAGAACTTAGGGCCTCACCAGTTGGCCTGCCAGCCCTGGGGGAGAGGCTGGCTCAGGCACTGGTCATGCTGTTGAACTCTCTGAGTAAACTAGGAAGCTAGGATCAAGAAAGCTCTAAAAGCCTTTTCAGTAATCAGTCAGGTGGGGCTTGGAGGGTCTACCTTGAAACACAGTGATGAAATTTCCACATGTCTTTCGTTGTGTGTAATTGGGCATTCCATGAAACAGTTACCCTTAAATGTGTCAAAGTCAAGGAAACAACAGTCTGAGGAATTGCTTCAGAAAAAAAGGAGATGTGAGAGCTACATTTAAGTGAGTCTGTATTAGATTTTGAACCAGAATTTTCTTCATGTCAATATAAAGATACTATACACTATCTTTACTGTATAAAAGAGAATGGGGAGATTTAATAAACATTACAGATTAGATGATAGGATTATATCAAGTCACTGTATCAAAACTAACTTTGATCATTGTACTGCAGTTACATAAGTGACATGCTCTTGTTTAAAAAACACCATACTGAAAAATTTAAGGGTACAAAGAAGCATCACATCTCCACAGGTTAAAGTGTGATATATCTATAGAAAGAAAAAAGAAAAAAATGATAAAAACAAATGCTATGACTCAATTAAGATACATCCAGAAAAAGATACACAAAAATTCTTTAAACTTGTCTTGCTACTTCTACATAACCCTGAAATTAATTTTTTTAAAGTGTCCATTTAGTATCAATAAAATTTTAACAGCTCATATAGTGCTGTATCTCCTCTTTCCTCAGTGTTAAACTGACAAATAAATTCTAAAGAAGAGAACTGATCCCTTCTAATCACTAGTTCATCTCAGCTTGTTCTTAGTCCCAACTCACATGACAGTCACTTGCCACCAAGAGGTAATTTATCTGACTGGAGCCAATTTAGGCCAGTAACTTAAAAAATATTCATGTTGTTGTTGTTGTTGTTGTTGTTAAGTGTTGTCAATCAAGAATAGCGACCATAGCGACCTTATGAACACAAGATTTGAACCCTGTTCTATAACTTTAGTCATAAATCATGAGGATATACAAAAGATTATAATTTAGGGAAACTAAACAAGATTTAAATCTACCTTAAATCTTTTGGGAACATGGTGGGCTACAAATCAAACTCAGAACATATGCAGACTCAACTAAAATATTTTAAGGACAGAAATATTGTTTTGTTTCCAAAAGAACACTTCCTCGTTCCGGCAGATGATACTGAGGCCACACAATGACTTTTACCCCGTCGTCATTACCCAGTTTCCAGCGCCTCGTCGGAGCCCTTCATGTAGTGCTCCTGCTTCATGTGCACGTTCCTCCCTCGCACTGTGATGGTGATCAGGGGAAAGCCCTTCTGCAGTGTCCAGGTGTTCATCATGGTTTTCACGTCAAGGCCTTCCTGACGCCAGTGCTAGATTGTACACAAAGAGGCAGATGCATGACCCACGCAAACCCAACAGAAGAAGGGAGAGAACCCCAGTTTGTGTCAAAGGGCTGCTCTCCATTGGCAGCCTTTGCAAGAGGCTTCCTGACCCCTCCTCTCTTCACCCTGTCCTCTTCCCAGCCTGAGCGCTAATCTGCTGCCCTAGCCAGAGCACCTCCCTGGAGCACTCACTGTACTGCTTACTCCCCCTCCCTCCAGCCCATACATCTATCTTCAAAGACGCAGTGTATCGTGTTCTGCTGGGCATGCCCTGGGTTGGCACAGCATCAGCAACAAGGGAACGACGTAAATGAGGAATGACTGAAGGGAGAGAAAAAGGCCAGAGTTTCAACACCTATATGACTATATTATCTCTCAGACAAGCAAGGTGGAAGGGGGAAAAATTCATGATGGTTAACAATGTATTTAAAGAATTGAGAACCTAAAAGTATCTAAGTGCTCTGATATGAAAAAGGTTTTTAAGAAAATATTTAAGAGCTAGTAAAAAGATAAATATCTAAGTGCTCTGATATGAAAAAGGTTTTTAAGAAAATATTTAAGAGCTAGTAAAAAGATAAATAAAGCTATAGAAAATTCTAGAAACCAATGAAGAAAGTAGTATCTAAAATCATGCTAAATGGACTCAGTCCATAAGGACGAATACTGTATAAGATCATTATTGTAGAACGTGTATGAGGATCCAAGGGGAGTAGGGGGAAGCAGAGGGATGAGAATGGGCGGGCGGAAGGGTGATTAATCAGAGGGTCGCACAGTTTGATGGGTGGAGGAGGGGTGGGTAAAGGAAATGGGAAAGATCCGGTGTGAAAATCAATGCATCCAAACCTTGTAAGTAAACGAGTAAAACATAAAAATTTTATTTTACTTTAAAAAAAATCAAAAGCGACAATAGTAAAGACACACCTCAGAGATATTTCAGATAGCGTTCCAGACCACAGGCAGATGTCACCATAAAAAGAAAGACACAAACTCTTTGTTTGCCAGTGCATATAAAATTTATGCTTCAACTATAATATATCTATTAAGAGATCCCTGACGGTGTAGTGTGTCACATGTCGAGCTGCTAACCTAAAGATCAGCAGTTCAAATCCACTAGGCACTCTGTGGGGGAAAGATGGGCCGTGTCTTCCATTAAGGATTTACAGCCTCAGAATCCCGTGGAAAGTCAGTGTGAGATGGAGCTGACTTGACCGATGGCAGTGGATTGGGGTGGGTAATATATTCAGTATGCAACATCATTACAGAGAGGTTTGAAATATTGTGAGAATAGCAGTATGTGGCACAGAGACAGGAAATAAGCACATGCTGTTGGAAAAATGGCACCAAAAGACTTGCTGGATCAAGGATGCATTATCTGTAAAGGAGATTCAAACTATATAGTAGTAAAAGGTGCCCAACTTACAGAATTCTGTTCCACTGTCTATTGCAAGAGTGCACAGAAACAAAGATCATTTCAAAGGCTCAAAATGTTACAAATCCATTTTAGGCTAGCCGTTAAAATTTTGGACTTCCTTTTTATGGTCAGATCTAACTACTCACTCTGCAATTTAACTTTTGATCTCAACATTTTCATCTATGAAAGTGAAAATAAAAATTTTAGCTCATAATCTCCCACAGGTTTACTGTAAAGTGTAACAAAAGAGAGTAACACATTTAGATGTTGGGCATGTGTTTCACTCACAGTAAGAGTTCAAGATTGTTCATAGCTTTTGTTGTTTTGGGGTTCCCCCTCCCACAAATGTGAAGCTTGAGGGAGAAAGATGGGCAATCTTCTCCTGTGCGATTTACAACTTCTGAAAACACACAGGAGGGTCAGCTATGAGTTGGTTCCAACTCGAATGCATATAATAGCAACAATTGTACAGCTAGAGAAATGACGGATAACATCTGCAGATTGACTTTTGTTATTGAGTACATTCGAGTTGGAACTGACCCACACCTGACTCTTCAGTGGGTTTTCAGAGGCAGTTAATGAAATTGCAGAAATTAGCATCACTGGGAAGAGATAACAAAGCAAGTTGCAAAAAAAATAAAAGGCAAAAGGCCATTTTCTTGATAGCGTTTCAATACACCCTTAACTAGAAAAAAGATTGATATAATTAAGGACCTCAAAAAAATGTACACAGCTGTTCTTCAAAGAGCAGGGCCCTAATGGCTGTACTTATGGCTGATCTGCCCAGATGGCAAGACTTACCGAGGATGAAGACGAATGCTGGTCTCTAGAACAAAAGCCATCCATCTCTTGATTGCCATCTGTAGGGCAAATCTAAAACCAGAAAATAAGCATATTAGCATATTATTTTCATTTCCATAGAAAACACTCATAACTGTTTAGAGAAAAAAAAGTGTGATAATAAAATAAATTAGATGAAAGAACTTAAACCATCAGGAAGGTCACCCTATTCAGCCCACTCCCAGCAATAAACCAAAGCATACTTACACTTGCGATACTATTCCACAGGTCTTCATTTTTTGTGTTTTTATAGCTATACTTCTGAAGATACTGCACAATGCCATTTTTAAATGCCTTGGCACCAAGATAATCTCTTAACATATTCAGAATACAAGCTCCCTGAAAAAGATAATTATGAACATATTTGTCATCTACACTTTGGTCAAAATTGTATCAACCTTCAGACTTTTTACCATAAAATCAGAATATATATATACAGCTGATCCTCCAGCCAGCATTTAGAGGCTGCAAATCATATGGGAGGAGATTGCTCATCCTTTGGGTTACCAGTACAACCACCAGAAGAATGAATATCAGAAAAACCAGAAAGAATACCAAGGTAATGATGGGCATGGGTCAATGGTGATTCATTTTATAGAGAAGAATATATAGGAATGATTGTTCAATGACTCTATGAAGCACAATGTGTATAGAGGAATATGCGAAGAAGAATAGATACCTTCAAGCTGTGGTTTTGGAGAAGAGAACTGAACAAACATTCCATGAATGGCCAGAAACAAAAATACCATTCTCAAAAAAGGTGATTTAATAGAATGTGAAGATTATCGAACAATATCACTTAATATCATATGCAAGCATATTGCCGAGGATTATAAAAAATTACTAGAATAGTACATCGACAGAGTGCTGCCAGAAATACAAGCAGGGTTTAGAAGAGGCTAGTGGCATCCACTTCCTAAACAACATGCCTCCAGAAACTCTGTGAACTTTGATAAATGTCGATAGTTGTAGAGGGGCTTCAGACCTTTTGTTCATAGGTTCTCTAACAATCATGCTCAACTTAAAGGCAATCAAAAACAACAAATGGCTCTAGGTATAGCATTGTGGATGTCAGATGGATTTGGGCTGAAAGCAGAGAGTACCAAAACTATGTGTATGTGTGTTTTATTGACTATGCAAAGGGATTTGATTGTGTGGATCACAATCATAGATTGTGGTTAACACTGAGAAGAATAGGGATCCCAGAACATTTGATTGTGCTCATGTGAAAACTATACTTAGACCAGGAAGTTGTTGTCTGAACAGAGAAAGGGAACACTGCATGGTTCAAAATCAATAAAAGATTGCACCAAGCATGTATGTTTTCTCCATGTCTTTTCAATCTACATACAGAACGGATCATTCAGGAAGCTGAATTTTATGAATCCTGTGGCATCAGGATTGGAGGAAGACTGATCAATAAACTTCATTATGAAGATGACACAGCCTTGCTCACTAAAACTGAGAACTTGACATTTTGCTGTCAAAGGTCAAGTACTGCAACCTTCACTATGGACTGCATTTAAACATCAAGAAAATAAAGGTCCTCATCACCAGGCCATTTGGCAGTATCATGGTATCATGATAGATGGAGAAAAGATTCAACAATATGTTTTGGAGAGGGAGAAGCTGTAGTGCTCTTTGGAGGAAAGAATGATGAGGCTTTGCTCACATATTTTGGGCACGTTTGCTAGGAGGGGCTATTCCTTGGAGAAGGACATGATGCTGGGAGGGCTGAAGGGTCAGGTTGGTGAAGGAGGGGGAAGACTGCTGCAATGGGCTTCTGTGTATCAGGAAGTGTGAGTATGGTGCAGGATAAAATGGGGTTCAGATCTTTTGTTCTTAGGGACTCAATAAGTTGTACTAGACTCAATGGCACATAACAACAACAACATCCAGTTGGTTGGCCAAACAGCTGTCCTCCTGATTTCTTGACACAACTTGGTGAGCACATCCGGGGCTGCATCTCTTTGCTGAAATATGTAAATTGGTATTCCATCAATGCCCAGGGCCTTATTTTTTTGCCAATTCCTTCAGAGCATATTGAACTTCCTCTTTTATTTCCACTGGTCCTTGATCATATTTCTCCTTTCCAGTCCTCTAACTTAACTCGCTAACCCAGGAAGAACATCTCCATGGACTGTCTCCTTTCCACTCTCTATACTCTACATGTCAATAAAATACAAATACACATTCTAGTATTCTATCCTTTCAGCCAGGATCCATCTAATATCAGCAATAATATTCCTGATGCCACAGATTCTTCTAAATTTAGCTTGAACTTCTGGCAGTCCTCTGTCAATTTACTATTCTAGCCATTTTGGGTGATCTTCAACAATAATGATATTATGTGATAATTTTCACCTTCTGTTGGATCATCTTTCTTGGGATTAGGAACAATTATGGATCTTATCCATTCAGTCTGCCAAGTAGCTGTCCTCCAAATTTCCTGTCATAAACTGGTGTCCACATCCAGGACTGCATCCGTTAGTTGAAATGTGTCTATTATTACCAAGTTGAATTCTAGAGCCTATGTTTTGGCATTGGTTTCAGTGTAACTTGAACTTCTTTATTACCATTGGCTCTTATTCATATGATATTCCCTTAAGTTGTTCAGTGTCAATCAATTCTTTTTGATACAGTGACTCTGTGCATTCCATCTATCTTCTTCTTTAGATTGTTATTGTGTGCTATCAAATCAGAACCAACCAATAACTAACCCTCCAGCAGGTAAATGACTAACTGACCATCCTATAACTTGTAGAATTATAAACTCGACAGGAAAATAGTCTCCAAGTAATCAAATCTAACAAACATGGGTCAAGAATTGAAGGCATTCAATCTAAATTGCAGCTTGGAAGGAAAAAAACACTCACAAACACATCTATACTCTCTCCACTTCAGTATTTATAATTTTAGTGTCCAAGTCTAATCTCTTTATACCTTTTCATAAGAAACTTCATCAAACATCTCCCGAATCTGAGCAGGATTCTCCACAGGTGTGGACACTGGGTGTGAGGAATTCAATGCATCTACTTCCATTGCACTAAAACACTTGCCAAAAAAATAATCTTCCTGTAAAGATAAAAAAAATGAAACAAAGTATCACTTGTGAAGGACAGTTAATAAAAAAAAGTATGAAAGGAGCATTTGATTTGGGATAATAAGTTTCTATTTAAAAATTCTAGATTCTACTGACTGGGACAAAACTATTAGCAATGCCTCTCAGACAAGAATCTCATAATGAAAGTTTACAGAATAAGCCAGGAAGAGCACCTC